GTGGGCGGCGCAGCCAGATCTCCTCGTGCAGGCTGCCCTGCAGGAACGCTGTGCTGAAGTCAAGAGAGTGAAGCTCGTAGTCACGCTGAGCAGCAACGTGCAGCAGAACCCGAAGAGTGGTCATCTTCGGGGTGGGGGAGAAGGTATGGAAGAAGTCGACCCCCTGACGCTGACTGAAGCCTCTAGCAACGTAACGAGCCTTGAAGACAGGCGGAGAACCTGGCGGCCGCTTCACCCTGAAAATCCACATGCCATCGACGATGTTCGCCCCAGGAGGGGGAACCTCGTCGACGTAGGTGCTTGTGGACTTCCAGGATGCCATCTCTGCGTCCATGGCTGTCTGCCACTGAGAGGAGTAGGGACCCGAGATCGCCTCTGCGTAAGTGCGCGGAGTGGGGATGTCTAGTGCATCCGGGTCTCCCTCAGGGGCAAGCAACCAGGCCACGAGATGAGGTACAGCAGCCGCAAGAGAGTCAAAGTCCTCCTGCCTGTCCTCAAGGACGTCCGTGCCAAGAGCACACTCACCCCCGACGGACGGAGGACAGACAGACGCAGACTCTGACTCAGCAACAAGGCTAGCAGCGTAGTCTAGACGACAGGCAGCAGCAAAGTCAACCAACTCAGCGACCAGAGCAGACGCAGCCGAGGACTCAAAGGTAGGGTCAGTGACAACAGTAGCGAGGAGACGCGTGACTGTAGGGTGCTCAGCGCGATACCGGTCAGACTCAGGGTCCGGAACGGCAGGCAAAGAGGACGCAGGAGGAGACGGTAGAGGGACACGCCGAGGAGCAGTAGAGGGACGCAGAGTCATGTAGTGAGTGCCTGGGACAGGAGGAGGACGCTCACGACGGACACGACTACCAGTGCGAGCAGGACGAACAGGCGACGCAGGACGAGACTCAGGCTCACGACGCTCTGTAAGACCTCCTGTGGGACCAGTATAAGGAGAGGGAGCAGGGAGAGGCGAGGCAGGCGGTAACTGTGACTGCGGCTGGACAGGCGGAGGACACTCTACAGAGGGAGGAGGACAAGGAGGAGGAGCCTGCCCAAGAACCTGCTGAAGGAGCGGTACGAAGTACGGTCGCGGCCGCGCAGCGTCTCCAGAAGCAGAAGGGACTCCAGCGGCCGGGTCCTCAGCACCAGTAGGAGCTCCAGCGTCCGGGTCCACAGCACCAGCAGCAGCTCCACCGGCCGGGTCCCCAGCTCCAGCAGCAGCTCCACCGTCCGACTCCTCAGCACCAGCAGCAGCTCCACCAGGTGGGTCCGCAGCACCAGCAGCAGCGCCACCCCCAGAGTCGGCAGCTCCAACTCCGCTAGCACCGCCAGCGCCAGAGTCCCCAGCTCCAGCAGCTCCAGTCGCAGTGCTCCCAGAACAGCCAGTCCCGGCAGCTCCAGTACCCCCAGTACGAGCACCCCCAGGACGAGCAGCTCCAGCACCCCAAACTCCAGCCGAGCCACTAGGACGGCGAAAGCGTCGGACGTACCAGTCACGAAGCTGCTGCGGTGTGAGAGACTGCTCAGCACCCCGAACCGGAGCACCCCCAGACACAGTAACCCGAGGCTCCGTAGGCTCAGTAGCAGCACCCCCAGGCTCAGTACCCGCAGGCTCAGTACCCGCAGGCTCAGCACCCCCAGTCGTAGCACCCCCAGGCTCAGCACCCCCAGGCCTCGCACCCGCAGGCTCAGCACCCCTAGGCGCAGCACCCCCAGGCTCCGTACTCTCAGGCACCGTACCCTCAGCTCCAGCACCCTCAGTCCCAGCACCTGCAGCCCCAGCACCCCCAGGCCCAGCACCCCCAGGCTCAGCACCCCCAGGCTCAGCACCCCCAGCAGCACCACCCGCAGCAGCACCTGAGTCACCTGTGACCTCGACAGGCTCAGCGACGGGAGGAGGGTCTACCTGAGAGACACCTGAAGGAGCAGGACCCTGAGGGGGAAGGGGGTCTACCGGAGGGGGACCAGGAGCAAGGAAAAGTGGCGGGGGAGGGAGGGGGGCAGTGCGGTAGGGGAAGAGACGGTAAAAGGGGACCGACTCGTCAAAGGTGACATCCTGAGAGGCGAAGACCCGGCGCGAGGTGGGGTGGTAAAACTGCCAGCCAGGCGCGTCAGGGACAAAGCCAAGGAAGACACAGGGAAGCGTGCGGGAGGAGAGCTTGTCCGCAGACGTATCGCGGACAAGGGCACGAGCACCCCACACCCGGAAGCGCGACGCATCGCCAACCTCCCCCGTCCAACGCAGTGTGGGCGAGGTCTCCGGCAAGGAGACACGGGGCCAGAGGTTGAGCTGATGCGCGGCGTACCGGACAGCAAACGGCCACAGAAAATGGGGAGCCGCCGCGTGGACCAAGGAGGTACGAGCGACCTCCATGACCAGGCCAATGCGACGCTCAGCAACCCCATTCTGCTGTGGGGAGTCCGGAAGCGTGAAGGTCTGCTCGATGCCCTCCGCCTGACAGAAGGTCCTCAAGAGGTCGGAGGAAAACTCACCACCTCTGTCAGAGTGCAGACGCAGGACAGGAAGATCCGTCCGGAAATGGCGGCGGAGCTGGAGACGAACCGTGCGGATCCAAGGGATCAGAACAGCAGGGACCTCACCCTTGGTGCGCAAGGGGAAGACCGTGGTGTAACGCGAGTAGTCGTCGACAACCAGCAAAAAATACCGCTCACCGCCCTGACCACGAACGCGGGCTGGGCCCCACACGTCCAGGTGGAGGGTCTCCAGAGGAGCCTCTGTCGGGGGGAACGAGGAGGAGTGAGGAGCGGCGCGCTGCCGCCCCTCGACGCAAGGAAGGCAGGGCGGCGCAGGCGAGGCAGGGAGGGGAGGGAGGGACCTGGGAAGACCGGACACAAGGAGGCGACGGTGCATGCCACGAAGGCGTGGCAAGGAGGGGTGACCCAGGCGGTGGTGCCAGAGAAGAGTCTGGTGCGACAGGGAACGACACTCACAGGCGTGGGCCACCAGACCTGACGCAGACACCTGACCGACAGCAGCTACCTGGGGAGACGCAGTGGTCAGTGTGTAGAGACTCGACCCCGGCCGACGGGTGAACGTAGCCAGGTGACGGCCGGTCCTGGAGCACGTGCAGATCGCCACACGCTGTCCGCCAGGGGTAAAGGTGTCAACCCACTGATCCTGGAGGACAGCGTTGCTCACCAGGTTCGTCGAGAACGAGGGGAGGTGGAAACCCGACAACGAGCCAGACGGAACCGCCGGACAAGGGAGGACAGTGGTGGACTGGGCAAGGACTGGGCCCCCAGAGGGGTCAGCCAGGGAGACTGGGACCGGTGCAGGAAGCGGTGTGAGCTCAGTACTGTCACGAAAGAAGCAACGGGAAGCACCTGAGTCAAGGGTGAAGGTGTGACAGGCCTCAGCCGGTGCGGTACCTGAGAGAGCAGTCTCTGTGGGTGCTGTACCTGAGAGAGCAGACTCGAAACCAGTCGGGACAGCACTGGAGGGAGCAAGTACAGGGGGCACCATACCAGAGAGAGCAGACTCACTAGTACCCAGGGCAGCGGGCTCTATACCTGGGTCAGGCGGCACACACAAGTAACAGTCTCCCTCGGCACTAACAGTCAATGCATACATGGCAGCAATAATAGCATCATAGTCAAGAGCAAAGACATCAACACCAGCCCTCATGAGCTCAGCCCAGCGGGGGCGCTCAACATCCGCACCCATCTCCTCACGCCAAGCGTCGTCAAGGCGGGAGAAGCAGCGGTACGGGGTGTGGAACCTCCCACACGTCTGTCCCTTGCGGTCACCTGTGCGAATGACATAAGAACAGCGGGCACTGGCCCCCGACGTCCCACGCTGAGCAAGCCACTCACGAAGCTGCTGGGTCGTCTGGGGACGCTGCTGCTGCTGGGAGCTCTGGCCAGAGCCAGTGCCTCCACTCCGACCTCCGCCGCCACCACTACCACCGCTCCGACCGCCACCGCCACCACCGCCACCACCGCCACCGCCGCCACCGCCGCCGCCGCCACTACTGCCACTGCTCCCTCCGCCGCCCCCGTCTCCACCACCGACCCCACTCCCACCAGCGCTCCCGCCACCGCTCCCTCCAGCACCGCCTCCCCCCCCACCTCCCCCACCTCCTCCCCCCCCAGCGCCACCACCACCACCCTTGCCCCCCTTGCCCTTGCCGGTGCGGCGCCTCCCACCAGGAGTAGAAGCAGCGCCAACAGACTCAGCACCAAGGAAGTCAACAGCAGCAGCAGCAGCGTAGGAGGGAGCGAGGGGAGAGGGAGAACACCCCTCAAAGATGGGGGTGCGAGGAGCGCCACGAGCAGCACCGACAGCTACAATGCTCTTTTCGGCCGCGAGCAGGTGCTCCTCTAGGAGGGCGACTGTGAGCTCAGTGGGACAGCGAGCAAGGAAGTGGTCTCGAACTGAGCGGAGGGTGTCAGGGAGACGGGTGACTATGAAGTGGAGTGTCCAGTACAGTGGAGGGGGGTTCTTAGCGCAGAACTCGGTGGGAAGGGCGGCACGCAGGCGAGCATCACTAGTGCGAAGGTGGGTGATAAGATCGGCGACTGTAGTAAAGGTGGACAGATCGGGGAACAGGTACGGCAGCATGAGGCGGCTAAGCTCGGCTGTGGCAGGCGAGGAGTAGCGAGCAACGACAGCGTCGTACAGGGCCTTAGCGGATTTGCAGTCGCCAAAATGCTCTAGCTCAGCTAACGGCAGGTGACTGCGAATGGCTAGGCGAGCAGCTGCGTCACGAGTCTGCCAGTGGGAACGAACACTAAGCTCAGCTGTGGCAGGAGGGGCAGGCGCAGCACCAGACGCGTAGTCATAGAGCGACACATGCTCCTTGCTATCGCTCAGGAGAAACAGCTGCAGGTCATCTAGCCAAGCGGTGAAACGCACAGGGCGGCCCTCAGCATCGAACGACAGCACGCGAATGGAAGCCATAGCGACAGTGTGACAGAGTAACGCAAGCTGCCGCAGCAGGGGAAGACGACTGTGCACGGATAGAGAGCAGCGGGCGAGGCTGGCGCTACGGGCAGGCGGCGCTGCAAGCGGTCAGTGCGACGGGAGGGCGACGCTGCGAGCGGGCAGCGCGGCGGACGGGCCGGGAAGCGGGCAGCGCGGCGGGCAGGCGGCGCATGTCCTCTTGCCCACAAAGCACCTCCTCCCCTCCCTCCTCCCCTTGCTCCTCCCCTTGCGCTCCCCACTGCTCCTCTCCTTCCTCATCTCCTCTCTCCTCCCCTTCCTCTTCTTCCTCCCCCTCTTCCTTCATATCCTCATTACCCTCATCCTCCCCCTCCACACGCTCCACCCACCTCCGTTCCTCTCCTCTACCCGCCTCTCCCACTCCCTCCTCTCGCCTCATACAACCACCAAGTTCTCTCACTACATGTTCATCTACCTTCCCAGACCCCTCCCCACCTCCCTCTCGTCCCCCCTCCGCCTCTCCCACTCCCTCCTCTTGCTTCATACACCCACCATGTTCCCTCACCATGTGCTCAACTGCCTTCCCAGACCCCTCCCAACCTCCCTCTCGTCTCCTATGCACCTCACAGCCTGCATCAACTGCCCCAGACTTCTGTATTCTCACACTTCTCAACACACCCCCCTCCACCTCTCCATCCCCCTCCCTCACATCACCTCTCTCCTGTGCGTGTGCACCGCCCGACCTCTCCGCTTCCGTCCCTCCCTCACAACCCACCGCCCCACCTCCCGCATCGCCCTTTCCACATCTCACAGCAGCAGCAACAGCACCAGAAGCAGCCACTGCATTAGCAGCACAAACGACAGGCGTGGAGTGGGTGACACGAGCGGCACACGTTGCATTAGTGGCCGTCCTTTGAACAGCCTCGGCTGCACTCTTTTCAAACAAGCTTCCATTGGCAAGTGCAGCACCAACTTCATCAGTCGCAGTAACTCGATTCCCCTCAGTGTCACCATGTGCGCTGGCAGCAGCATGATCCCTTGAACCATGGCCACTAGCGTCACCAGCTCCCATGCAACGCCCTGAACGCCCACCCACAGTGCCGCCTGTACCAGCACCCACTGCACCAGCCGCAGGATCAGCAGCAGCACCGACAGTAGCTGCAGCACCGACTGTAGCAGCAGCACCCGCTGCACCACCAGCAGCAGCAGCAGCAGCAGCACCTGTAGCATCTGGTTGGGTTGCGGGCGTGGTGGCAGAGGCCTGCGAGGCAGCAGCTCGCAGCTGCGCCTCCACTGCTGCTGCTGCCGCTGCTGTCGCCTCCTGCAGCCGCTGCAGCTCTGCCTCTTCTCCACTGGTACGTGTGCACAGGCAGAAAGGGATGAACGGAGCATGCAATGATTGGGGCGTGGGAAGCATGGGAAAGAACGAGTCAGCGGATGGCACAGCTGCTGTCGCCTCCTGCAGCCGCTGCAGCTTCGCCTCTTCTCCACTGGCATGCACGCACGAGCAGAGCAGAGCAGCATGGGGTGAATCGGGCGTGAGATGGATGGGGGGCTTGGGAAGCACGGAACAGATTGGGGAACAGATGGCACGACTGCTGCCACCTCCCTCTGGCAATGCAGGTCTTACTCTTCGTTCCTAGGGCGAATGGGAAGAATAGGATGGGGAGAGTGGAAAAGAAAGAGCCAAGGAAGGAATAGCAGGGATCTTATCGCTTCCGGGAAACTGCTGCAGGTCTGGAAGCGGTGGGGGGAATGGTGAGAAGGAAAGGGAGATGGGGAGGGGAGAACGAATCACTGGATGGCTGGGCAGGGGTGGCATGGCTTCTGTACAAAGAAATGTTTTGATACGTCTCAAAACACTTCTTTAAACACGGGGCAGGGCTGGGCATGGCTTCTATGGAAACTCAGACATTAAGAGTGCAGAGGGAGAGGAAGTGGCCTTCCAAAGTGGTCAACAGCAAGTGAAGTGCAGAGGAAGAGCAGTGGGAAGAGATGCGTGCAGAGGGAGAGGGGTGGGAAGAGATGCGTGCAGAGGGAGAGGGGTGGGAAGAGATGCGTGCAGAGGGAGACGGGTGGGAAGAGATGCGTGCAGAGGGAGAGGGGTGGGAAGAGATGCGTGCAGAGAGAAAGGGGTGGCAGCACATGTGTGCATCTCACTTGGCATTTTCGAGTCAGCTCAAAAGTCACCTCGGTACAAAGGCGCACAACACTTTGTCATCAAGGAAAGCTATCATCGCATGGGGGCTATACAAGAACGTCGGAGCATAATTTCTTTCGCTAACAAATGCTAGAGTAGAGAAGTGTTTCTGTTTTGCTCTTATGCTATTTCTCCTTTCTCTTCAAGTTTCCTCCGCGGGGATTTTCCCGCTCGTAAAAAGCACGGCATAATGTTCTCTAGGCTATACGAAGCTCTCGTTTACACTAGGACTCTTTGCGGTCTGATGGAGGCTTTGACATCAGAACCGGTTACCACCAAAATGCGACACACAAGAGTTTTGTCCTACGTGCGTGCACCTCACCTGGCTGAGTATCGCTCCTCAGGCACCAGCCTCCACTCCCTCAAGCTGTGATGGGGACAAGAAGAGAACAGGGATGCAGAGGGATGCACACGGATACACAGGGATGCAGAGGAGTGCACAGGGATACATAAGATGTACAGGGGGCGCATGCAGCGCAAGGCAGGAGATGGACTGAAAGAGAAGGTTGACGTGCAGCTTGCAGTGCGGTGCGGAGAGCAAAGAAACCGCAAAGCGAGAAGGCACAAGCAGCCTCACGACCCAGGCGCACCGCAAACAGGGTTTGCAAGCAGGGCGGAGGCTCAAAAGGCTGGAGACGGACCGAAAGAGAAGGTTGGCGTGCCATGTACCACACGTGCAGGGCGGACAAACGACCCAGGCAGGCGCGCCACAAACAGGATATGCATGCATGCAATGTCGGGCAGAGGCTCGAAAGGCAGGCCCAAGTGCACGAAGAGCCTTGGCATGCTCTTGAGTTGCCTCAAACGCCCCTCCCGCCCCAAACACCTCGGATTCACATCAAAGCTCACCAGTGTCCTCCAGCCACATGTGGCTCCCGGTGCTGAGGTGGTGCGTGCAGGTGCACCTCTGATGATTTTGCGCAACAGGCCCCAACAGGTCCTTTCACCGCATACATCTGCGCCTCACAAGTCCTCCAGCCATATGTGGTTCACTTCACAGTCTCGAGGAGGTGTATGCACCCCTGTAGTTGCATCAAAGGCCCCCCTCGCCCCATACACCACCCATCACACCTCATGCTCACCAGTCCTCCAGGTTCACGACCTTGAGGTGGTGCGTGCGCCCCTTGAGTGCCTCAAAGATGCCATTCCCCCCAACACCTCATTATCACCACTCCCCCCCAACACCCTAAGTCTCACCAGTCCTCCAGCCACATGCGGTTCACGATCTTGAGATGGTGCGTGCACCCCTTGAGTTGCCTCTAAGACCCCCCTCCCATTGTCCCCCACACCTAAGTCTCACCAGTCCTCCAGCCACATGCGGTTCACGATCTTGAGATGGTGCGTGCACCCCTTGAGTTGCCTCTAAGACCCCCCTCCCATTGTCCCCCACACCTAAGTCTCACCAGTCCTCCAGCCACATGCGGTTCACGATCTTGAGATGGTGCGTGCACCCCTTGAGTTGCCTCTAAGACCCCCCTCCCATTGTCCCCCACACCTAAGTCTCACCAGTCCTCCAGCCACATGTGGTTCACGATCCTGAGGTGGTGCCGGCATGCCACCTCGTACTTCATGCCTGGCAGCAGAGGGGACAGCGTAAAGAGGGGAGATGCGTCAAGGGGAGATGGGTGGTGGGGAGATGGGTGGTGGGGAGATGGGAGGAGGGGAGGTGGGAGTCCATTCAAGAATGTGGTGCCGGCGTGCCACCCCGTACTTCATGCCTGGCAGCAGAAGGGACACACGTGCAGAAGGGCGAGATGCGTGGAGGGCGAGATGCGTGAAGGGCGAGATGCGTGGAGGGCGAGATGCGTGAAGGGCGAGATGCGTGGAGGGCGAGATGCGTGAAGGGCGAGATGCGTGGAGGGCGAGATGCGTGAAGGGCGAGATGCGTGGAGGGCGAGATGCGTGGAGGGCGAGATGCGTGAAGGGCGAGATGCGTGGAGGGCGAGATGCGTGAAGGGCGAGATGCGTGGAGGGCGAGATGCGTGAAGGGCGAGATGCGTGGAGGGCGAGATGCATGGAGGGCGAGATGCGTGGAGGGCGAGATGCATGGAGGGCGAGATGCGTGGAGGGCGAGATGCGTGAAGGGCGAGATGCGTGGAGGGCGAGATGCGTGAAGGGCGAGATGCGTGGAGGGCGAGATGCGTGAAGGGCGAGATGCGTGGAGGGCGAGATGCGTGGAGGGCGAGATGCGTGGAGGGCGAGATGCGTGGAGGGCGAGATGCGTGAAGGGCGAGATGCGTGGAGGGCGAGATGCGTGAAGGGCGAGATGCGTGGAGGGCGAGATGCATGGAGGGCGAGATGCGTGGAGGGCGAGATGCATGGAGGGCGAGATGCGTGGAGGGCGAGATGCGTGAAGGGCGAGATGCGTGGAGGGCGAGATGCGTGGGCTAGTGAGTCAACTCAAGAATGTGTCGCCGGCATGCCACCTCATGCTTCCTGCATGGCAGCATGGGGACAGATATGTAGAGGCGCGAGGAGCGCGAAGGGGAGATGCGTGGGCTAGTGAGTCAACTCAGGAATGTGTCGTCAGCATGCCACCTCATACTTCATGCCTGGCAGCAGAGGGACAGATACGTGGGAACATGCGTGGTGGGACATGCACGGTGGGACATGCACGGTGGGACATGCGTGGTGGGGAGATGGGTGGTGGGAAGATGAGTGGTGGGGAGATGAGTGGTGGGGAGATGAGTGGTGGGGAGATGAGTGGTGGGGAGATGAGTGGTGGGGAGATGAGTGGTGGGAAGATGAGTGGTGGGAAGATGAGTGGTGGGAAGATGAGTGGTGGGAAGATGAGTGGTGGGAAGATGAGTGGTGGGAAGATGAGTGGTGGGAAGATGAGTGGTGGGAAGATGAGTGGTGGGAAGATGAGTGGTGGGAAGATGAGTGGTGGGAAGATGAGTGGTGGGAAGATGAGTGGTGGGAAGATGAGTGGTGGGAAGATGAGTGGTGGGAAGATGAGTGGTGGGAAGATGAGTGGTGGGAAGATGAGTGGTGGGAAGAGGTGGATGGTGGGGAGAGATGAGTGGTGGCCTTTTCACTCGACTCAAGACGTGTCGCAAGCGCGCCACCCTCGTGCTTATTGCCTGGTGGCATGGGAAGGTGGGTAGGCAGATATGTGGTAGGCAGATGCGGGGGGAGGGCAAAATGGGGGGAAGGGGCAGATGAGGGGGGAGGGCAAAATGGGGGGAAGGGGCAGATGAGGGGGGAGGGCAGATGGGGGGAAGGGGCAGATGCGGGGGAGGGCAAATGGGGGGGAGGGGCAGATGCGGGGGGAGGGCAGATGGGGGTAAGGGGCAGATGCGGGGGAAGGGGAGGGGAACTGCGGGGTTGGGGGAGGTGGAGCATATGCGTGGTGCGTTTTGTGGAGAAGCAAAGGCGGGCAGTGGAGCATGGGGTGGCAGGAGACATGTGGAGCATGGGGTGGCAGGAGACAGAGAGACATGTGGCAGGGAGGATGCAGAGAAGCGGATGAGCAGATAAGAAGATGTGCAGGGTTTTGATGCGCCTCAAGTCTTGTATCCGTCCTTCACGCACACAAACCCGCACGCGTACAAGCACTCGCTCACGCACGCACGCACGCACGCACGCACGCACGCACGCACGCACGCACGCACGCACGCACGCACGCACGCACGCACGCACGCACGCATGCACGCGCACACCACCCACCCACCCAGCGAACACTCCTGCTCCAAACCCTCCTCCCTCCCTCCCTCCCCACCCCCCTTCAACCCAACTGCACACACCCACACAAACCTTGGAGCTCGTAGCACACGAGGTGCATGCATACACCAGTGTTGAGATCCCGAGAGAATCCTGCACAAATCAGCTTTGCCAGTGCTTTGCCATCTCCCTCCCTCCCTACCTCCTCCCCACCTCCCCACCCCCCTACAACCCAACTGCACACACCCACACACACCTGTGAGCTCGTAGCACACGAGGTGAGTGCATACAGCAGTGTTTAGCTTCCCCGATAATCCTGCACCCATCAGCTTTGCCATGGTCTGAACGAGGGGTGGAGGACGGAAGGAGTAAAGGCATGAGTGCAGTGCAGTGCAGTGCAGTGCGGTGCAGTGCGGCGCGGTGCAATGCAGTGCACACGTGAGATGATGCTGTTACTAGAAATGATGATCAAACGAGAGGAGATGCCCCCATACGTGCTTCATACTCACAATGTAAAACTCGCTAAGGAGTGCCTCGTTATAAGGAGTGTCAACCACGCACCTCATGCCGCCACGATAGCCCGTGAGGCCCAGCACCAGCCGCTTGGCGCCTCGAATGCCATGTGCTCTTTTATCTCACTACGAAGTACTTGAATACCTCGTTATAAGCAGTTTCAGATCTCACCTCTACATCTCGCCGCAAGCTGCCACTGTAGCCTGTGACGCTCAGCACCAGCCGCTGGGCACCGGGAATGGCGCATTTGAACCGCATGGGGCGATGCAGCACCTGGGGTGACAGGCAGGCAGGCAGGTGGGGCATATGGAGAGTAGCGGGGGAGAGACAAATCAAGGTGCGACAGGTGGGACAGGTAGATTGAAGACACATGACCCCTCTGTGCCAGAATAACTTCTGGAGAATCTTCATAAGTAAGATGTGATGCTATTGAAAAAAGGAGAGCATGTTGCTTGTGTGGAGCTGAGGAGAGGGGCAGGAACAACAGCTATAGCTAGCAAGGATAGGGGCAGAAGCCGGAAGTCTGCAGCATACCGAGGAGAGGGGCAGGATGCGGGAGTGGCGGAGGCAGTGGGTGAGCCACCTGGCAGTGACCACCACCTTGCCATCGCTCTCCGCCCTCATGCACAGCTCGTCCTCCTGGCGTGTGGGGAGGGGGGGAGGGGGGGGGGGGGTAGAGTGGAGGATGGATGGGTGGGGAGGACCTTGCATGCACACATTCACGTCACAGCAGCAGTGGGTGAGCCACCTGGCAGTGAGCCACCTGGCAGTGACCACCACCTTGCTGTCGCCCTCCGCCCTCACACACAGCTCGTCCTCCTGGCGTGGGGGGTGGGCACGAGGCGAGGAGGGATGAGTGGGGAAGTCAGTGCATACAAGCGTCACAGCAGCAGGCTACAGCGGGGCAGCACACCACCTGGCAGTGACCACCACCTTGCCATCGCCCTCCGCCCTCACACACAGCTCGTCCTCCTGGCAGGGAGGGCGGTTGGGAGGATGGTGGGATAGACGATGGGTGGAGGGGATGGGTGGGGGCAACGGGTGAGGACGCAGCTGTATGCATGCATGCATGCATGCAGTCACAGCAGCAGAGGGGCAGCAACGCTACCTTGCCGTCGCCCTCTGCTCTCATGCACACTGCACAGCGCTTCGTCCTGGTGTGGAGGATGGGCGAGTTTTGAGGCACCTCAAAAGTTTGGCAGCAACGCTACCTTGTCGTCGCCCTCTGCCCTCATGCACACTGCACAGTGCGTCCTCCTGGCATGGGGAATGGGTGAGTTGGGAGGGTGGTATGGGTGCGGAGGAGGTGAACTAGGGCCCGTTAGAGGAGGATGGAGCAGGTACTATGCATGGCACAGGCGAGCCATGAGGGGAGGAGTGACCGCCACCTCACGCGCAGCGCGCCCTTCTGGCGTGGGTTGTGGGTGGGAAGGTTGGTGAGGGGGCGATGATGGAGTGTGGCGGGGAATGATGGGTGGTGAAGCCCTTGAGCGCTCTCTGCTCCCTGCACATGGAGTGTCCTCATGGGGGTGAAAGGATGGGTGAGGGCTGAATGACATGGGTGCGGATTGCGATTGGGTTGGGGTTGCAGGTGACAAAGGAAGGGGAGGCATCTGTAACATGTGCCGGCGCGTTACTACAGTTCCTGGGAGTGTGTTTCGTAGTCCCAGGGAGTGACTTACCACAGTCACAGAGGGTGTCTTGCCACATCCTGCTTGGTTGGTTCCCACAACTGGGGTAATAACTATGGTAAAACCAGCAATGATCACGCAGGAGCGTTTACCACATTCTATTTACCACAGTGCACGTGTGTGTTGCCCCGTTTCGGTTACCACACTGCAGGGGTGTGTTACCAAGTTGAAGGTGCATTACCATGGTGAGGTCATCAACGATCACAAGGGAGCAGGAGCAGTCATAAGCGAGCATCACCGTTCCTCCTGCTCGCCTCACATTCTCCTCAACCTGTTTGGTGGGCGTGGGGGCCGTACGAGGGAGTGACCATATAACCATGGTGCGAGAAAGGGGGAGGTGTGAGAACAATGGAATGGTGACAGTCAGGAGAGTGCGTGGAGCGAGTCAGGGGCAGGCTGTTGTGGAACGAATGGAGTGGCGACTGCCAGGAGCACAAGGTCAGGAAGGAGAGGTGGCATAAGGGAGACCTGAGGGGTTGACCTGAGCGACCTGAGAGGCCTACACCTGAGAGGGGTTGACTAGGGAAGTTGCACAGAGAGGAGTTGGGCTGAGAGGGGTTTGCCTGAGCGACCCGAGAGGGGTTGACAGGGGAGAGGAGTTGGGCAGAGAGGATTTGACCTGAGAGGAGTTGACCTGAGAGGAGTTGACCTGAGAGGAGTTGACCTGAGAGGAGTTGACCTGAGAGGAGTTGACCTGAGAGGAGTTAACCTGTGAGGACTGACAACTAGACACATGACCCGGACACAATAAACGCCACACCCGGAGCGACCCTTCGTTCCGAGAGCACGCCTATCGCGGCCCTTGGCTCTGAGATGAGAACACGCCTATCATGGCCGTTGGATCATTCTGACAGCCCCATTCCACCTTCTTGATGAAGTCAGCGGACGAGCCGCCCACCGCCACGCGCATTCCCGTGAGGAACAGCCCAGACTCGCCCGCCCGGACTACAACTGCCTCTGCCGGCTCCATCTGAGCTCGCTGCTTCCGCGCGCCTTCCAGCGACGCAACCATCGCTGCTCCGCTCCCTCTTGCTTCCCTCCCCGCCACGCAATTTCCGTGCGGCGACAGGCCAGGCGACGGATGGGAGGGTCAGCGAACTTGACGAATATTCGGCTTGACGAAGATTATACCGTATGACGTGGAGATGCTGCGGTGTAGTGGGATAAGCTACGGTACGATTGGTAGCTGATGTCGCCGAGACTCGCCCGACGCTGCCGCGGACGCAATGGAAACGTGGCTGATACGAAATGCGCGGAAGTTAGGCTAGCGTGATTGACGCTCGAGTGAATGACCAGGTGGACGCGAGCAGCTTCCAGCTTCTCGTCACTCAGCCGCTGGCGCATCGCATTGCATCTGTTGCTGGTCCAAAGTTGCTACAAAAAGTTTTTCGGCTCGCCAGCTAAAACAAGTTGACATTCTAATCTTTATCTCCTAGTGACTGTTGCGGCCGAATCGTCTTTCCCGCATGCCAGACCGCCGCCAAGGTACAATACCCAGCAGGAGTTGTCAGAATCGACTTTCCCGCATGCTTTCAGTCAGTCAACTCAATAATTGTCAGAAGCCGTTGTAGTTGTGCTTTTCGGGGTGTTTGTACGCTGGGGTTACTCCAGGCGGGAAATGTACTGATTGGTTCACAACTTCATCAGGCTGGTTCAAACATTTGAACACAGCGCTTTCAGAGAGGGATGACTATAGAGAGTATGTTGAATGTGTAAACTGTTTATACAATTACTGTACAGTTATGCATCACACTGTATGGATTCATGAGACAAGTCACAGACCTACCCCCTGCTCTTCCCAAATCTGCGGTTCGTGGCGCTTCACCAGATTGCTGACATGGCAGGATTTTAGCCACAGGCACAGCCGTCTCTTGCGTTTCCAGCCAGACTAACCACGTACCAAAACGTGGGGTGGGGCGAGGAGGAGCTGGGCGCGCGGTCACTCAGCTACGTAAACTGTACTGCCTACTTCGGTTAGGATCCAGCAACCACAACGAGATGACGACTATGTAAAAGTAGCACTCTCATAGTTGCTTGCTACCAATCGGTGACAGTGCGACGCAGATAATGCGGACTGCTCACTGGCTCCTTAGCAGCACTAACTAGCCTAGCTCTCGTTCAGATTCTCGCGACATTTTCCCAAAAGTCCACACAATTCGCGCCGCGCGCGCGCGCCATGGATTTTGACGAGCTCCACCTCTTGCCCGTCGAGCACGCGAGCCAAGCCCAGCGATGGCTGGCGGTCGCGTCGTGCAATCTCGTCACCTCGTCGCTCGTCTTCTTCCTCATTCGCCACCTACCCAAAGGCCTCCCTCGCCTTCTCGCCCTCTCCCCCATAATCCTCCTCAACATCGCCCTCCCGTGCGTTTTTTCCGCCGCGAAACGCGGCGAGTGCATCGAAAAGGGCCTCGTATTCTGGACGGTCTCGTGGCTTGGCAATTTCCGCCTGCTCGCTCTCGCGTGGAACCGCGGCTCGCTCACGGACCCGGGTTACTCCTCCAGCTTTCTCCAATTCCTCGTCGCACTGTACATGCCCATGCGAAATCGCGTTCGCGAAACCGCGAAAACCGCCGCCTTTTCGCCTGAAACCCCCAACATAAAGCAATCCCGCCGCCACAAGCAGCCTCCCTCCGAATCCTCGCCGCAGCTGCTTCTACGAGGCGCGTTTAAAGCCCTCCTCCTCTCCCTCACCATCCGCGCGTACGCTCTCAACCTCCCCGCGCCGGCCGTCACGCTGCTGCACAGCGCGAACCTCTTCCTCTTCATCACGCTCCTCTGCGAGCTCGTCGCAGGAGTCGTCGCAGCCGTCGCCCCGCGCTTCGCCGTGGAGCCTCACTTCCGTCGCCCGTACCTGGCGACGTCGCTGGGGTCGTTCTGGGCGCGCCGGTGGAACCTCGTGGTGAGCGGCAGCCTTCGAGAGACCGTCTACGAACCGCTCCTGGACTGGCTTGAAAGGCCGTGCTCAACGGAAGGAGGGAGGGTAGCTGAGAAGGGAGCACGAGGGAAGGAGGGTAGTTTGAACGTTGGAAATAGGAATTCAGCAGTGAATGGGGGTCATGATTCTGTGAATGGTCGTGGCTGTGGGGCTCCTGATGGGTTTGAGGAGGTTGAGAAGATTAACGGTTGGAGTGAGAAGGTGAATGGTTACAGTGAGAGGGTCAACGGCTGCAGTGATAAATTGAATGGCAACAGTGAGAGGATCAACGGCTGTAGTGAGAAGTTGAATGGTAACAGTGAAAGGATCAACGGCTGTAGTGAGAAGTTGAATGGTAACAGTGAGAGGATCAACGGCTGTAGTGAGAATATGAATGGTTTCAATAAGCATATCAACGGCTGCTATCAGAGGAGCAGCCGGAGAGAGGAAACGGCATGTGTGAATGGGACTGGAGAGTTACCAAATGGGCATATCAACAACTGTGATGACTATCATTTTTCAAACAGGGTGGCGAAGCAGAACGGATGTGCTTCACCTGCTACTGCCTCAGCCGATACATCTCCGAACAGCCGCCATGTGAGCTTTGCCCGGGCAGCAGCAACGATTGCCTCGTTTGCTGTATCCGGAGTCATGCACGAGCTGGTGATACTATACATTGGAGGGGCCATGACAGGCGAGCAGATGGTGTTTTTCACCCTACATGGAGTACTGACTGTGGCAGAGGCATGGGTTAGGAAAGAGTGGAAGACGAGAGAGCTGGTGCCGATACCCAAAGTGGTGGCAGGAGGGATGGCTCTTGGGTTGCTGCTGTGCACTGGACATGTGTTTTTCTTTGCGCCTTACCAGCGATTAGGCGCCATAAGGTGTGTTGTGGAAGGGCTCGAGGCCCACTTCTCGCAACTCATGAAGTCGATTTCAGTATGAGGACAAGACAATGTAAAAGCTAGGTACCGTATTGAAGATTGGTTTACAACCACGCATGCCTGACGGCATTCCATCAGTGCCTGCAAGACGGGCATAAATATTTTAGCTGGTAGTGCCTACACGGTTGCACCAGCGACCAGTCTGCAGAAACAACAAAACACTGAAACCCTTCACTACAAAACACTGAAACCAAGGCTAATGTTTCATTTTGAAGTTCTCTCATTATCAGTCATATATTTTTGAAAACCCTGATTATCAGTCCGCAGCCCCATTGTCCTTACTCTGATCCATCAGGGCTTTCCTTGTTTTAAAAATTGAACCCTAGGGTCAACGTGCAACCTACCCTGATGTATTTGTGAGTGTACTATTATTTTATATTATGATCACGACACCTTTGTTAGCGAGTCAGCTATGCAATGCGATCATGCGATGCGACTTGGGTTGCTGAAGAGGAGACGTGGTGGAAAGTGGGCTAGGCCTAGTGGGGGTCGAAATGGTCTGCACTGCACTACACCTGCCTGCTGATATTCCAACCTAGAATGCTGTTTTGGCAGGTGAAGGCAAATTGAGTGTGTGAACACAACTGCATTTCAAACCAGTCACTAGTGGTGGGGGGAAGTTGGGAGGGGGTGGCCCATTTTGATCGCAGCCGTTGGTCATGCAGCTTATCACGCTGTCATCCGTCCGTTCGTGAGGTATTTTCGAAAATATTACCATCATTTCTTTAATGGCGCACTACAGCGCCATTTTTTCCGTAGCGAAAGTTGGCGAGGCATGCGAATCCCTTCAGCTCGATTCATACCCTTCGGAGAGGTAAAGGTTGCCTGCGTCTAACGAGCATCATTTGTACAATCCACCTGTAGGCTTCTACAGTACCGTGGGGAACTAAGTTTGCGGACATTCTTTGTTGTTGGCATTACAGCTCTACCGTAGGACCAATGGGCCTTGGCTTAGAATAAAAACGTGAAGCATACAGTTACGTGAAAGGCTGCCCCCTGTCTGGTGCATTTACCGATCAATGGCTCTGTTCTGTAGCCATTTGCCCGAAGGGGGAGGAGGGGGGGCGAAAGCAAATGACCCGGGTTCCTACGCAGTTTCCCAACCGAAATCACCTCCACCCCGCTACAACCGAAAGCGCGAAACTTCTGGAGCGAGGGCGGAAACTGCCGACGGTAAATGGCGAATTTACCTGCTCAACTTCGCGCCCCATTGGCAGGGGTACATCGATGGACCCAACCCTAAATTGCAGGGTAAACATTTGCAAGAGGGGGTGCAGGGCTAGAAAAACGGAATACACACCCAACTCCCAACTTTCCCATCACGTCTCAGGGTACGTTCCTGGCCAGTGTCTAGCTTCCGGTCATCCGCGGATGACCGGAAGTTGGACCCACTTTGGGCCATCCGAGACCAACTTCGGGTCTTCCGGCCAAAAATTGCCCCTGTTTCTGGAAGACCTGAAGTTTGACTGGGAGTTTGACCCAAAGCTTCGGGCCTTCCCGGGAAGGCCCGAAGCTTGACACGGGCCAGGAACGTACCCTCAAATATCCGCAGCAGCAGACCACCAACTCAGCCCAAGCAAGGTGGTTGACAGCGCGCTTTTTTTTTTTTTTTACCAGGGTTGTGCTTTTCTGTGTGGGTCACGAGCAGCTGGAGGGGATGTCCGTCGAGGGTAGATGCAGGGTGTCCCCACCCCCCGTACCTCCCTCCCTTGTCTCTCGCCAAGCCCTGAAAAAGCAGTTTTCGAAGGGCGGGGCGAGTGGCGTGTTTTTTGCCAGAGAAGGAAGGTGGGGAGGGGAAATCGGTAGTTTCGTATGGGCCAAAAACCCACGGGGGTAAATGGCTGTTCTGTAGCCATTTCCCCTGAACAGGTTCGGAGGGGAAATGGCTGGCTCGGCACCGTCTGCAAATCGGTTAGCCGTTCCGGACCAAAAAACGGAGAAGGGGGAAGCTACCTATTTCCCCTCACCCCCCCGCCGCCAGGGCCTACAGTGTCAAACATTGTATGTTTATATTGTGTAGGCTGTAGTGGGTTACACCTTAGGGGATACACAAAGTTAGGGTTTCCTACTTGTACCAAACTCTGTGCTAGTTCATTTCATTCCTGCTCAGTTATTTCTGACATGGTTTCAGAGCAGGTCCTTCGCTAGGACTGTTCTTAGGGCCCACCGACTTACCTACCTGCTTACCTTCACTTGTTTCCGGCCCCGCTGGCCCCGTCGATCTAGCACGATCTAGCGGCCCTGCGGCCCCGTCGAACTTTTTTTTTTCCTAGCGGCCTCTCACGGCCCCCGTCGCGTCGCCCCTTAGCGCCCCGATCGGCCCCGTCACGCCGCCCGCGAACCGCACAGCGCGCCGCGCTCACAGCCCGCGAACCGCCCACGCACAGCCCGCGAACCGCCTGCGCAGCCCGCGACCAGCCCGCGCAGCCCGCACACAGCCCGCGAACTGCCCGCGAGCAGCCCGCGACCTGCCCGCGAACCCCCGCGAGCCGCCCGCGACCCGCTTACGCAGCCCGCGAGCAGCCCGCGCAGCCCGCGCTGAGCCTGCGCGGCTCGTGCGCTGACCGCCGCCGGCCCGCACGCTGCCCGCACAGCTCACATACGGCCCGCGCGGCCCGCGCACTGCCTGCTACCGGCCCGCCGCTGCTGAGCCCGCAGCCGCCCGCGCACCGCCGCTGCTGAGCCCGCCGCCGCCCGCGCACCGCCGCTGCTGCGCCCGCCGCTGCCCGCGTATCACCGCTGCTGAGCCCGCCCCTGCTGCGCCGGCTCTCGCTGCCGCCTGCTGCGCCTGTGCACCACTGCAGATCCTGCTACTACACTTCCTGCTACTGCTGCTTGTGCGCCACTACAGTCCGTAGGCCCCACCGGCCCCGCTGACCCTGCGCACGCCTTTTCAGTGACTTTACTGCTTCTACTACTGCCGCTGTCGCTATGGCTAGTCCTCCTGTTCTAGCTTTCGACGCCGAGGGCCGTCCGGTCAAATTCGAAACCTGGCTAGATGACCTGCACCTTTTCCTACAGCTCACTGCCAAGGAAGATATTACTCTGTACGACCACGCTCTCGGCCATGCGACCGCCCCACTCACTACTGCCCCCCCAGCTGAGCGCTCACAGTGGCAGACCCGTGACGCGCACGCTCGCTTTGCTATTCGCAACTCCCTGCCACTAGATGAGCGCGAGCACTTCGGCCAGTGCAAGACTGCTAAGGACCTCTACACAGCTGTAGTGGCCCGCTACTCCTCACCCGCTTCTGCCACGCTAGGCCGCCTCACTCTCCCCTACCTGTTCCCCGACCTAGCCTCCTTTCACACTGTCGCAGACCTCATCACCCACCTTAAGACTAGTGAGGCTCGCTTTCGCGCTGCCATGCCTGACGAGTTCCTCGCTAGCAACCCCCCCCCCGCTCTGGATCACTCTCTACCACGTTGTCACCCGCCTCCCTGACTCTCTGCGCCCTGTCAGGGACCAGTTCCTCTCTCGCTCCCCCACTGAACTCACCGTAGACCTCCTCGAGAAGGAACTGCTTGCAGCCGAGGCTAGTATCGTCGCTGTAGGCACCTCTCGTGGCGACCCCCGCGGCCCCTTCTTCGAGGGGTGCTCCCCTTCCCCCCTCCTCCCCTCTGTCGCCTCTGCTGCTGCTGTCGACCTCCTTGGTGCTGAGAAGGTCGGAGCTGCGTCTGCTTCAGGCGGACGACGCAGGGGCAGGAGTGGCAGGAGTGGGGGTGGTGGCGGAGGAGGCGGGAGTGGAGGTGGTGGCGGTGGAGGTGCGACTGGAGAGGCTAGTGGCGGCAGTGGTGGAGGTGACAGCGGCGGTGGGAGTGGTGACAGGGGCGGAGGTGGCATCGGAGGCGGAGGTGGTCGTGGCAGCGGCAGGGGTGGAGGTGGCCGGGGCGGAGGCGGCGGGGGTGGTGGTCGTGGAGGCCCGGGGGGCGGTCAGAGTCAGCAGCCTGCCCCGACCCTTCAGGCCGCCCGTGAGTGGTATGCGCGGCGCAGCGTCACCTGCCAGTACGTTATTCGCACAGGTGACCGCACTGGCCAGACGTGTGGGGGGCCGCACCAGACGGAGCGCTGCTTCGCCCGCCTCAACGACGCGTGGCGCACCCAGTTTCCTGGTGGGGGTGAGCTGCCGCGCTGGGCTGAGCTGCTCAGGAAGGGTGTTGATATTTGGGCACTAGACTTTGATGCTATCCTCACTGCCATGTATGCGATGTCTATTAGTGGAGAGGGTGCTCAGTACTTGCGTGTTCCGCCCGACCCGGGCATTCAGGCCAGCCCTGCTGCTGCTCTAGGTGCTAGTGTGTCTGCTCCCACAGGTACTACTGCAGCTGCTGCTCTAGGTGCTTGTGCGTCTGTGCCCCCTGGTACTGAGTTGACTGCAGCACTGCACACCTTCACACTGGACTCAGGTGCTTCTCGCTCTTTCTTTCGTGACCGCACTGTCCTTGAGCCTCTAGCTCGGCCGGTTGCTGTCTCTCTTGCTGACCCCTCTGGGGGTCCGGTCCTTGCGACCTCCTCCACCACCCTTCCGTGTCCAGCGGTTCCGTCCGGCACGCTCTCAGGTCTCTACCTCCCCTCGTTCTCCACGAACTTGGTGGCAGGTAGTGCACTCCAGGACGGGGGTGTTCACCAGTTCACCCCTGCCTACGAGCGTGTGACTCACTGCACATGTGCTCGGACGGGCCGCCACCTAGCTACTTTCACTCGAGAGCCGGGGTCTGACCTGTACACACTGACCACTGAGTCCCCTCAGGTAGCTGCGTCTGCGTCAGCGTCAGGTCAGCTGTCCGCCCCCTGCTCGTGTCGCTCTCTGGCGAACGACACCGTCCTCTGGCACCACCGCCTTGGTCACCCGTCTGTGCAGCGCCTGCGGGCCATGCACAAACGGGACCTTGTTGCTGGTCTTCCCAGGGTGCTCCCTCCCCTTCCTGACTCCCCTGCTCCTGACTGCATTCCCTGTGTCGAGGGGCGGCAGCGCGCCGCTCCTCACTCCTCCTCCTTTCCCCCGACGACCGCTCCCCTGCAGACGCTCCACATGGACGTGTGGGGCCCAGCCCGCGTCCGTGGTCAGGGTCAGGAGAGGTACTTCCTGATAGTTGTTGACGACTACTCGCGCTACACCACGGTCTTCCCCTTGCGCGCCAAGGGTGACGTCCCTGGTGTTTTGATCCCCTGGATCAGCCGAGCCCGTCTCCAGCTAGGCGAGCGCTTTCACTCGGACTTTCCTGTCCTGCGCTTGCACTCTGACAGAGGTGGTGAGTTTGCCTCCGACCTCCTGGCAGCCTACTGTGCTGAGCACGGCATTGAGCAGTCGTACACGCTTCCGGCCTCTCCACAGCAGAATGGGGTTGCTGAGCGCCGCATTGGCTTAGTCATGGAGGTCGCTCGTACCTCCCTGACCCATGCGGCTGCTCCCCACTTTCTGTGGCCGTTTGCGGTCCGGTACGCTGCGCATCAGCTCAACCTCTGGCCCCGTGTCTCCTTGCCGGAGACTTCCCCGACTCTGCGGTGGACGGGAGAGGTTGGCGATGCGTCGCGTTTCCGGGTGTGGGGATCCCGAGCTTTTGTCCGCGACACGTCTGTGGACAAGCTCTCCCGTCGCGCTCTTCCCTGTGTCTTCCTTGGCTTTGTTCCCGACGCGCCTGGATGGCAGTTTTACCACGTCACCTCGCGCCGGGTTCTGGCCTCTCAGGACGTCACTTTTGACGAGTCCGTCCCCTTCTACCGCCTCTTCCCCTACCGCACTGCCCCGCTCCCCCCCCCGCCTCTCTTCCTCGCTCCAGGTGCTGAGGTACCAGAACCCCTCCCCCCTCAGGGTGCCGCTCCCTCAGGTGTGTCCCAGGTAGACCCGGGTGAGCCTGTCGAGGTAGCTGTTGACTCGCGTCCTGCGTCTGGGGGTGCTGAGCCTGGGGGTGCTGAGCCTGGAGGTGCGGAGCCTGGGGGTGCTGGGCCTGGAGGTGCGGAGCCTGGAGGTGCGGAGCCTGGAGGTGCGGAGCCTGGAGGTACTGAGCCTGGGGGTGCTGAGTCTGGACGTGCTGAGTCTGGGGGTGCTGAGTCTGGGGGTGCTGAGCCTGAGCGTGCTCCACCTGGAGGAGCCCTCTCCTCCCAGCAGCTGCAGGAGAGGTACCTCGAGTACTGCCGCCTCTGGAGAGGTGCTTCTGGAGCTCGTCCCGGTACTTTCCCTCCTACCCAGGAGCTCCCCCCCATTCAGGTGATCCGCGAGTGGTACACGCGGCGCTGCAGTCTTCGTAGTGGTGCTCCTGGTGCTGCGGACCCGAGCGGTGGTGCTGTTGCTGGTGCTGAGGACCCGGACGCTGGAGCTACTGCTGGTGCTGAGGACCCGGGGGCTGGAGCTGCTGCTGGTGCTGAGGACCCGGGCGTTGGAGCTGCTGCTGGTGCTGAGGACCCGACCGGTGGCGCTGCTGCTGGTGCTGAGGACCTGACCAGTGGCCCTGCTGCTGGTGCTGAGGACCCGGGCGTTGGAGCTGCTGCTGGTGCTGAGGACCCGACCGGTGGCGCTGCTGCTGGTGCTGAGGACTCGGGCGTTGGAGCTCCTACTGGTGCTGAGGACCCGGGCGTTGGAACTGCTGCTGGTGCTGAGGACTCGGGCGTTGGGGCTGCCACTGGTGTCCCTGCTGCTTCTGGAGACGCTGCGCGGCCGCGACCGTACTTCGTACCGCTCCTTCAGCAGGTTCTTGGTCAGGCTCCTCCTCCTAGTCCTCCTCCCTCCGTCGAGTGTCCTCTGCCTGTCCAGCCGCAGTCACAGTTACCGCCTGCCTCGCCTCTCCCTGCTCCCTCTCCTTACGCTGGTCCCACAGGAGGTCTTACAGAGCGTCGTGAGCCTGAGTCTCGTCCTGCGTCGCCTATTCGTACTGCTCGCACTGGTCGTCGTGTCCCACGTGAGCGTCCTCCTCCTGTCCCTGGCACTCACTACATGACTCTGCGTCCCTCCACTGCTCCGCAGCGTGTCCCGCTGCCGTCTCCTCCTGCGTCCTCTCTTCCTACTCTTCCTGACCCGGAGTCTGACTCCCGTCGTGCTGCCAGTCCCACTGTTACGCGTCTCCTCGCTACAGTTGTCACTGACCCGACCTTTGAGTCCTCTGCTGCGTCTGCTCTGGTCACTGAGTTGGTTGACTTTGCTGCTCGCTGTCGCCTAGACTACGCTGCCAGCCTTGTCGCTAGGTCTGAGTCTGCGTCTGCCTGTCCTCCGTCCGTCGGGGGTGAGTGTGCCCTCGGCACGGACGTCCTTGAGGACAGACAGGAGGAGTTCCACTGCCTTGCTGCTGCTTTGCCCCGTCTCGTGTCCTTGCTAGTTGCCCCTGAGGGAGACCCGGATGCACCACACATCCCGACCCCACGCTCTTACGCTGAGGCGATGGCGGGTCCCTACTCCTCTCAGTGGCAGACAGCCATGGACGCAGAGATGGCCTCCTGGAAGTCCACAGGCACCTACGTAGACGAGGTTCCCCCTCCTGGGGCGAACATTGTCAGTGGCATGTGGATTTTCAGGGTGAAGCGGCCGCCGGGTTCTCCCCCTGTCTTCAAGGCGCGCTACGTGGCTCGAGGCTTCAGTCAGCGAGAGGGAGTAGACTTCTTTCAGACCTTCTCCCCCACCCCGAAGATGACTACTCTTCGGGTGCTGCTGCACATAGCCGCTCACCGCGACTACGAGCTTCACTCTCTTGACTTCAGCACTGCTTTCTTGCAGGGCAGCCTGCACGAGGAGATCTGGCTGCGCCGCCCCCCTGGCTTCACTGGGTCAGTTCCTCCTGGCACCCAGTGGAGGCTTCAGCGGCCGGTCTACGGTCTCCGCCAGGCGCCACGTGAGTGGCACGACACACTGAGGACGACACTTGCGGCTCTTGGGTTCGCTCCCTCTACTGCTGACCCGTCGCTGTTTCTACGCACCGACACCTCGCTGCCGCCGTTCTACATCCTCGTGTACGTCGACGACTTGGTCTTTGCCACTGCTGACACCGCGGCACTCGCTCACGTGAAGTCGGAGCTGCAGAGGAGACACACGTGCACAGACCTGGGTGAGCTGACGAGCTATCTTGGCTTGCGGATCACCCGGGACAGAGCACGGCGCACCATCACCCTGACTCAGTCACACATGGTGCAGCAGGTTCTCCAGCGCTTCCGCTTCACGTACTCCTCGCCTCAGTCCACTCCTCTGCCTACCGGTCACTCGCTCTCAGCTCTGCCTTCGGATGAGTCCGTAGAGCCGAGTGGCCCGTATCCAGAGCTTGTGGGCTGCCTCATGTACCTGATGACCTGCACTCGACCTGACCTTGCATACCCTCTTAGCATCCTAGCACGCTATGTCGCTCCTGGCCGTCACCGGAAGGAGCACATGGATGCTGCTAAGAGGGTGTTGCGCTACTTGTGCAGTACGTCGGGCATGGGGCTTGTGCTTGGAGGGCGAGACCGGGTTGTTCTCACAGGGCACTCAGACTCTTCTTGGGCAGACGACCAGGCTACTCAGCGGTCGTCCCAGGGTTACACCTTCAGCCTTGGCTCTGGCTCAGTTTCTTGGCGTTCTACTCGCTCTTCTTCTGTTCTCAGCTCCAGTTGTGAGGCTGAGATCTACGCCACAGCCATGGCTGCTCAGGAGCTACGCTGGCTGACCTACCTGCTGACCGACCTCGGAGAGCGGCCTCGTTCTCCTCGAGTGCTGTACGTCGACAACAAGGCTGCCATTGCCTTGTGTGAGGAGCACAGACTGGAGCACAGAACGAAGCACATCGCTCTGCGGTACTTCCTTGCTCGAGAGCTGCAGCAGCGTGGTCAGCTTTGTCTGCGTTACGTGGCCACGGAGGCCAACACTGCTGATGTGTTCACCAAGGCGCTTCAGCCTTGTGACCATCAGCGCTTTTGCACTCTGCTAGGCCTTGTACCTACTGGGCCTCACTTGCTTACCTCTTGACCTTGCTTGTACTGTGATCACTATATATATATGCCTACTTGTTTACTTTTGCTAGGTTGTGATCACTGTATCTCTTGCTTTGTTATAAACCTGCATGTGAACTGGTCTTGTGACCGCTTGCTTGTGCTCGGAATTTGTGTGGAATCCTTGAGATCCACCCTGAGCTTGCTTTGCTTTGCTTTGACTGGTCTTGTGACCCTGTGGTTGTCTCCCACTGCGCCTATGGGGGTGTGTCAAACATTGTATGTTTATATTGTGTAGGCTGTAGTGGGTTACACCTTAGGGGATACACAAAGTTAGGGTTTCCTACTTGTACCAAACTCTGTGCTAGTTCATTTCATTCCTGCTCAGTTATTTCTGACATACAGAACAGAGCCAATCTTTCCTCGTAGATTCCCTCGCTTTCGCGAGTGGTCGTACATGTCAGCTTTTTTGTCGACATGCAGCTCTGAAATAGGCAAGCATTAACTCCTCTCCTCACCTCACCTTACCGAGACAGAGCTGACGTAGCAGCAGGAGGGAGGAGCTAGCACCACCACACACCCAGCAGCTCACAACCCGCCGCCATCAGCGTCACACAACACTGTGCATTAGCGCAAGAGAGAGTAGATTTTGGATCCCCCTTTCATCCCTCGCTGTATGCTGTGGCTGTCGGAACATCGCCTTGATAACCCCTTGCGCCGAAATGGCGAGCATCCTGTCGAGCATTGCGCTGGGCAGTTTATCTACTAAGACGTTCACGCCTGTGACCTGGCGCGTTCATTGGTTTACTTCGGTCAGGTCTCAGTTATCCACTCTCCTGACCAGCATCAGCTTCGGTTCTGCTGCGCTTAAGTCCCGGAGTCACCATGGGGGAAGGGCCAGCTCCTACCGATCCACTTCAAGAGGCTTTTCAAGGTCTCGTCAACTCATCCTAGACCAACATTTACGAACCGCGTCGTTAGCTTCGCGGTAGTAGTACCCATTTTGACCAAATACTAAATTCGTCATTTTGTGATTTCTTCGTGGGTCAGGAAGAGGCGGCGTGGATCGCGGCAAAGAAAGCGATTGTGGCACCGAGAATGACCAATCCGACTCGGATTGGCGTCAACTTGACGGCGGCGCCAAGAAGGACTCCAAGGGCGGAAGGAGCGAGAACTTCTCGAAGAAGCCTCCTCCTCCTCCACCTCCTCCTCCTCCTTCCTCCGTCGCGTTCTTCAAGCTATTCACCTACGCCGACTCCGTAGACTACCTGCTCATGGCGTTGGGGTCGCTGGGAGCGTGTACGCATGGCGCCACGCTTCCCATCTTCTTCCTCTTCTTCGACGAGCTCATTGACGCCATGGGAGGTAGCGACATCGGAGGCGTTAGCAAAGTAAGCTCAGCCTCAGAATGTCCTACTAGATTTGTCGTTTAATAAAAAATCGTAGTAGTACGTACGTCCCTCGGCCCTTCTACTAGTTGTGTCCCGCTGGCCTGCTGCTCGCTCAGTTACTAATAAGTGCTTGTTTGTTTCATTTTCACCCTCGAATCTCTCCGTGTTCTTCACCGCAGTACGCTGCGTATCTGGTCTATCTGGGGCTAATCGTCTGGCTCGGATGCTGGCTTGGTACGTACGTCGCCCATACCATACTAATGCCCTTCTTCAGGGAGTCTCTCGCACTGAGGAGTCCTCCTCCTCGCCACAATGCGTCGCTCTGAACCCCGCCGCCTCACTCTGAGCGCCGCCTCACTTTTGAGGCGCCTCAAAAGTCGTCTCATGTCTCGCGGTTTTTATGTGGGGAGAATTATAATTGCATGGAAGTGTGCGCGTAACCTTCAGCGGTTACTTGTAAGGGCGCGGTTACCAAAGTCACTCGCCAATGTTATCGAAGAAGTTCCCGAAGGCTGACTTGGCACCCTGAATTTGTTTCAATGCTTAGTTGGCGAACCCCTTTCCTAGTCGGATTCTGGGTAGTTGGGTTTCTTGTATGTAGATCTCGAGGGTAGTCTAGCTACTTTAGCTGCTACCAGACTCTCTGTCTCTGAGTTCCGAATTGTGCTGTACTGATGAAGGCGTGATTGGGTTCGCCCATCCGCCGAAACTAGTTTACGCAAGGAGGCTTTTCGGAAGCTAAGGGTTTTTCAGATCTGCGTTTTTTTACAAGCGTTTTTTCACTGTTGTTCCTTTGCCTAAGCGTTTTTCTGCTACTGCAGCCCTTCGACCATAAGTTTGGGTGACCCTTGGGATACCGAATGGTGTCCAGAAAACGAAGAGGCCGGTACTGAAAGACGCGGCTCGTCGAAGAAGGCTCGTGGGCGCGGAGGATCGTCGCGTCCTGTGGCTAGGGGTGCATCGAAGCACTCTCGGGACGGCAGTCGTATTCCGCCTTTGCAGCTGACCTACGAACCTGTTTCACGAAGCAAGCAACCTGAGAATCCTCCCCCCGGTACTTCTGGGAGCCGTCCAAGCATGGAGATGCCGGATCAGCCCGTTGAAAATTCTCCGATTCCTGAAATTTTCAAGAGTTGGACTGCTGCAGCGGTGAAAGATTTCCGGGACGGCTTCAAGGACCTTCTTAAAGCGAAAAAGTAAGCTGAAAAAGATGAAGGAGTTGGATCGTCAAGGTTCTATTCTGCACAGCATCAGGACTAAGGCGGTTGAATTCCAGACGAAGAACGACTCCGTCAAAGAGAAATCTGCAGCGGCTGTCGCGAAGATCCATTTGGAAAGTCAGAAACGGCTGCAGGCGGAGTTTATCGCTTCTAAAGAACTGGAGGTTGAGGAATTTCAGGCAGCTGTCGGCACGCATGTCACGACTCTGGCGACGAAGATGGAGGAGTACATCCAGGGCCTCAGCTCCGACCCCGATGTGGTGGTTTCAGATGCCGCCAAGGAACGCTATCGGCGACTGAAGGGGCGGTGCATCGAGAAGGCTCAATCCGACATCGCGGCAGCCAAGGATGAGATAACCATCCGAGAGATCGATCGACAGCGTAAGCAGGCGGCTGAGGATTTGAAGAAGGCTGCTGCGGCTGAGGAGGTGCAGGAGATGGAGATGGAGCCTGCGATTGGGGAGATTCTAGCTATGCACGCCAAGAAGATTGAAGACAAGCTTTCGCGGGAGATTACGCAGAAGCTTGAGGCCAAGCTATCTAAGCAGCTGCAGAAGAATCTTCACGTTGGGGAGCAGAACCCTTCGCAGGCCGCATCCGCTGAAAAGAAGCAGACGGCACAACCTGGGAGGCAGGACGGTGCGTCTAGGAAGCCTAAGCCGAAGAAGAAGCGGGGTGGGAAGACTCCAAAGAAGCAGAATTCCGGCGCCGACAAAGAGCAGCAGGCGAAAGGCTCTACTACATCGAAGGCCAAGGGACCAAAAAACGGCGGAGGCGGCCCCGGAAAAGGGCCGCATAAGAAGTGACCAGCCACGACTTGGCGCTCCGGTGGTTCGCGAAGCTGACGTTTCGGCAGGCGGCGTCACATGTTCGCAACCGCGGAGTTCATAACCTCAGCGCCAAAGTCTTGTCTTTGGACGAGAAGAAAGCGCTGGGGCTCGGTCTGAAGTTTATTCCAACGCCCGCTGTTTCCCTTTCTACGGTCGAGTTAGATCAGCTATGCCGACAGATTTCGCTACGTTTCTTCTTCAAGGATGCAGACCCGGCTAAGGACTATCGCTTTCGGGTGAGAAATCCGAGCTGGGCTCCTGATCGGAATGAGATTCCGGAGCAGGTCTTCAGAGATTTGTCCTCAGACTTATCTTTTCTGCTGAAGGCATCTAGGCCTCCTCGACACCGAAACATCTCGTTACGTGTTTGACAGGCTTTGCGCTCCATCGCCGCAGACCGTAGTGTGGTTATTAAACCTGCTGACAAGAACATCGGGATCACTGTGATGGACCGGGAACTTTACGTTCGTCTCTGTATGGACCATCTAGGCGACAGATCGACTTACGCCCCGGTTCTCCAAGATCCTACTGCCTTAGTCGTTCAGGGACTGCATCGCGGAAAAGGTTTTGGCTCAAATTCGAGTTTAAGTCTGAAGGTTGCAGGGAAGTTGCAGAAACGTTGCAGAAAGTATCCGAAAAGCTCTGAGTGAAAAATGGAACATGCACCAATTTCGGATACATGTGGCTTCCGAGCCGCGCATGTTGGATACGTGGGGTACCCGAGGCGCGAATTGTGGATACGTGGGTTACCCGAGCCGCGAATTTATTGCATCATTTTCGAATCATCTTCACCGAACAGCACACCTGGTCACGACCAAATCTCTTGAGTCCCCCGTGCTGGTGTACGATTGAGGAACACTGCAGCCCGAATCAGGTGGGCATTGTCGAACGTTGCGAGCACAGTAACTGGGATACAAAATAAAACGAGGCTCGCGAAAAAACAAGCCAGAATCGTAACTGGCAGCTGGCACACAGTTCCATGTCACACCCAAAGTGTTCAGATTCTGTGCAAGTGACGTGGCTTCTCCGAACCACAGGTAACCGGAATTGAGCTATCCTCACGATTTTTTAATGACCAATTACTGGTGTGGTCTAACCTAAACCAGAAATCTACGGCATCCGTGACGACACATCATCACACATTGGAGCTCTAGAAGCATCACACTACGAGTGTATCTCTCCCTAAACCGCTAGTTGCCCAGCTGATGTTCACACATCTTGCTCAGGTTATTGTTCCATTTCGACCCACCTCGTGTCTCTGCCGTCCCCTCAGCAAGCGTATACCGTAGAACGTACGTCTTACGTTGTGTATCTAATAAACTAGTGTATGAAGTATCAATCCTTCAACATCTGCCCAGATCTACCGTCTCATCCTTTCATTTCTTTACCCTTTTTTTCTACCTCCCGTCCCATATACAGCTCGTCGCCTTGCTCAACTCACTCGGAAGACGTTCTGCGCGCGAATCGCCGCGGACTCAGCACCCGTCAACCTACGGACGCAGCGACGAAAAGCTCGTTGCCCGGCTGCGGAAGCGCCTTGTTCGGCGCGGAAAGCGCCGGTGTGTGTACTAAACACGTTCAGCTGCATACTGAAATTTGTAAGCATACTGAATCATGTGACGCCCATCACTCCTGTTCTTATCCTCACTCTTTCATTTCTTCTCACGTTTTAGGCTTCTTCTCTTCTCGATTTGGTTCATTTCTTCCCATAATGAATGCAGATCTATTTCCTCCCATTTCAAATTGCACGCCTGTGCCACCTTTAACAGGTTCGTTGTTGTTTTCCTGTGCAGCCTCCCACTACACAAATCGTCTCTACGCTCTCTGCATGAGAGAGAAGGTGTGGTAGTCGCGCGAAGGTCTCTCTCTGCCTCTGATAAGAACCATGCGCGTTTTTAACCCATGTTGTCTGGAATGTAGGCTTTAACGATAACGTTTTCATGTTTGTTGTTCTTAGTCATCGTGTTTCAGGTTTAATATTCATGTGCAGGGTTAATGGAAGTCACGAGATGTTAATTTTCATATGCAGGGGGGTATCAAGATCCAGGCCCTGTGAAGCACATTGACGGCAATATTATCTATCTACGTCAAGGCCCTGGGTGATAAGTCACTAAGGTGGGGAACAAGCATATGACTAACCAAGGTCTAACATTATGTCGTCTTTGTGTTTGCAGGCTTTAAAACGAAGCATGATTTCGCCCTGTGTGACTACATGTAGAACCAGACGCTTAGTGATTGTTGGTTTTAGGTGTTTCGTGTTGACTAAATGTGTATACATCATATGTATGCAGACGTCCATAATATTGTAGATTACCTCCAACCCCACCTGTAACAAATAATCCTTGAAACGAATGGTCCGCTTGTACTGTTCAGACAAATTCTCGGCCAGTAGTATTCAATTTTCGCACACGCGAAGTCTTGTCTGATTGGTCCACGTGGCAAGCTGGCGTTCACATATTGAGAATGACACCTGGCAGAAATATCTTTGCTTACGTGGCAAAATATCTTCGCGAACGTACCGACGTACGTACACTTCGAACTCCAAACTGTACGCATGCCACGTGGCAGGTCGTGAAACTGCATACATGTGATTGAAATGTATCCGACGAGTGTACGCGAAATTGCGGAACTGTTGCTGGAATGCACCTTTCTTGCAACTTTCCTGCAACTTTTTGTCAACTGTCCAGTGACTCGCATTTCTGCAACTGTTGTCCATCACTGCGAAGTTGCAAAACCAAAGTATCCGCCGAGTTACTTTTCTGCAACTTTCCTGCAGCCTACTGGCAAGTCCTTTTTCGCGAAGTGCATGAACTGCGTCACGCATGGGGCCCTGCTTATCCCGACAGCCTTTGGAAGTATTTCTTAGACGAACCACCTGGAGGTTGGAGACCAGCAGCCTTTTACATCCTTCCTAAGCTACATAAGAAGCAGCTCGCCGGGCGTCCGATCGCCGCTTCGCACTCATGGGTTACTTCGAATGTTAGCAGATGGTTAGATGCAGAGCTTAGGCCGTTGGTGCTACGACAGCATACCTACCTCCGAGACTCTCTTTCGCTACTCTTGTCGCTGGAGGAAACTTCATTTCCTAACGAGATTCTTCTAGCCACGTACGATGTCTCGTCGCTTTACCCCAGTATTCCCCTTAGGCGCGGACTCGATGCGGTGAGCAGCATTTTGCAACGAGGGAGTCACCCTAGTTCTCAACCAGTCATGGCCCTGCTGGAGTGGGTCATGATGAACTCCTACGTGGAGTTCGACGGCCACCTGTACCATCAGACGCAGGGCACCGCTACGGGAACTCCTGCAGCGGTCTGCTTTGCTGTACTTTTCATGAGCCGCCTGGATGAGATTTTGAGGGAGAGATGGTCCGGAACCTTACCTCTACGCCACGTCAGATACATCGATGATGGCCTGATCATTTGGCCAGGTTCGAGGAGCGAGTTGGAGAAGTATCCGCAGACCTTCAACGAGCTTGACCCTAATATCAAATTGACGTGGCAGATTTCGGACAGTTCAGCTGATTTTCTTGATTTGGTCCTTTTCAAGGGACCGAGATTTGCTGAGCAGGGTATCTTGGATCTGAAGACATTCCAGAAACCACTTAACCGATACCTGTACCTCCCTTTTTCGTCTTTTCACCCCCGACACTGCAAGACTGGTTTCATTGCAGCTGAACTGAAGCGTTATCTTCTCCGCTCGACCGCTGCTGATACCTTTCTCGCCTCCAAGCGCGCTTTCTACCAGCGGCTACGAAGTCGGGGTTACCCCTCTGATTTCCTGCTACCCATCTTCAGGAGCATTTTCTTTCGACAACGACCTCTCCTACTGGAGCAGACTGCTGCCCGCCACGCACACAAACTTGAAACTCCCCCCGAACGCGGCCCCCTGGTCTTGAAGACACTGTTCACACCTTTGACCGGACGTCTCAGGCTGGGGGTGCTTTTGAGGCGCCTCAAAAGTCGTCTCATGTCTCGCGGTTTTTATGTGGGGAGAATTATAATTGCATGGAAGTGTGCGCGTAACCTTCAGCGGTTACTTGTAAGGGCGCGGTTACCAAAGTCACTCGCCAATGTTGTCGAAGAAGTTCCCGAAGGCTGACTTGGCACCCTGAATTTGTTTCAATGCTTAGTTGGCGAACCCCTTTCCTAGTCGGATTCTGGGTAGTTGGGTTTCTTGTATGTAGATCTCGAGGGTAGTCTAGCTACTTTAGCTGCTACCAGACTCTCTGTCTCTGAGTTCCGAATTGTGCTGTACTGATGAAGGCGTGATTGGGTTCGCCCATCCGCCGAAACTAGTTTACGCAAGGAGGCTTTTCGGAAGCTAAGGGTTTTTCAGATCTGCGTTTTTTACAAGCGTTTTTTCACTGTTGTTCCTTTGCCTAAGCGTTTTTCTGCTACTGCAGCCCTTCGACCATGAGTTTGGGTGACCGCCTCACTCTGAGCGCCGCCTCACTCCCAGCGCCTCACTCTGAGCGGCACTGTCCCTTCTCGAGCCTGAGCACGTTCTTCCCCCTCCCCCCCTTCATCCTCGTCCCGCGCGTCCCGCGCTGCAGAGGTGTCGCGCTGAATGCACCTGGCGAGCGCCAGGCGGGGCACTCTTGAGTTGACTCAAAGGTCCCCACCCCCACACCCCCCCCCCCCCCCTCCCCTTTCCTCCCCTCTCCCCTCCCCTCGTCCCCCCGCCGCATCTCGCGCGGCAGAGGTGTCGTGCTGGATGCATACGGGCGAGCGCCAGGCGGCGTGCATTCGCGAGCGGTACGTGGCGGCGATTCTGGCGCAGGAGATGGCGTTCTTCGATGCGTGCAGCGCCCACTCCAGCTCCGGCTCCTCCGGGCAGATCGTGAGCGACGTCTCCAGCAACGTGCTGCTCGTGCAGGACGCCATTTCCGAGAAGGTGCGGAGCGAACGAGAGGCCACACGGTATGGTACAGGGAAGTGGGGATGGATGGGACGGAGTTGGGGGGTTGGGGAGGGGACGGGGGGGAGTATGGGTGGGTTTGATCAAGCGGTTGCTGGAGGGGACGAGGAGGAGGACGGAGTGAAACCGCTCATTTTGCTGGTGTGAGATCTGAAGTTCTGGTTGAGCAGGAAAATGAGGGCCTTCGATAAGCGGGTCGCTGAAATGAGCAAATTCATTGAAGAGAACAAATGCGTTTTCCAGTTTCCCACATTCACACCCCACCCTCTCTCCTCATTCCCCCACTTCCCTTTCCCATTCCTGCCCTCCCCATCTCCCCCTTCCCCCTCCCACCTTCCCCCCCTCCCCTCCCCTCCCCCCTCCCCTCTCGCCCCTCTTCCCCCTCCCCACTCCCCCTTCCCCCCTCCCCTCCTCCCTGCTCCCTACCCCTCCCCCTCTCCCCTCCCGCCTCGCCCTCCACCCCCTCCCTCCACTCCCGCCCCTTGCATCTCTCCGTCGCTCCCCACCCAGGTGGGCAACGTCATGCATTTCATGGCCACGTTCGTGGCGGCCGTCGTCATCGCCTTCACCACGCTCTCGCAGCTTTTGAGGTGCCTCCAAACCGCTCAAACCCCCATCCCCCCCTTCCCCCCCCCCCCCCCACGTCCCCCCCCCCCGTCCCCCCAACCCCCCCTCCCCTGGTTCCCTCCACCCAGGTGGGCAACTTCCTGCATTTCATGGCCACGTTCATAGCAGCCTTCATAATCGGCTTCACCACGCTCTGGCAGCTCACGCTCGTCGTCCTCGCCATCGTGCCTCTCATGGCGGGCTGCGGCGCCGTCTACGCCGTCGCCATCACAGGCGTCACCTCCAAGGGGCAGCAGGCATACGCCAAGGCAGGCGCAGTGGCGGAGCAGGCGGTGGGGCAGGTGCGCTCGGTGTACTCGTTTGTAGCAGAGGAGAAGACGCTGATGCAATATAGGGGCGCGCTGGAGAGGACGGTGCGACTGGGGCTGCAGGGCGGGCTGTTCAAGGGCATGGGGCTGGGCGGCATGTGCTTGGTCATGTTCTGCGCGTGGGCGCTGCAGTTCTGGTTCGCCGCGAAGCTTGTGGCGGCCGGCAAGGCCACGGGCGGCCAGGCGCTCACCACCATGTTCTCCGCACTCATCGGCGGCATGTGAGTGGATTGCCCCTCAGCCCTTCCTGGTCCTGTGGTCCTGTGAGTGGTCATTGGCGGCATGTGAGTGGTCATTGGCGGCATTTGAGTGCTCATTGGCGGCATGTAAGTGCCCTGCAGCCCCTCACCAACCGGGCCTGCCTGCTGCACTGTGTATCCTTGCTGGTTCTGTCTGTGCTCCTGTGGCATGCATCAGCTCTGCGCGTCAGTGTGGAGTACTTGCTGCAAGCATGCCTTGTACCATACCATCACCTCACCACTGCCTTCTCCAGCCTCACTCTCCACTCCTCTCCCGTCATCCTTCTCCCCCTCTCTCGCCTCCACTCGCTCGGACCCTCTCCCCTCCCCGCTTTCCCGCTCCGCTCCCCCCTTCCCCCTCTCCCCTCACGGCCTCTCTGGCAGGTCTCTGGGGCAGGCGATGCCAAACCTGACGGCGTTCGCCAAGGGGCAGGCAGCAGCGCACACCATCTTCCACACCATCCATCGCAAGCCCGCCATGCATATCGGCGACACCTCTGGCGAGGCCCCCGCAGCCGGCGACGTAAAGGGGAACTTGGAGCTTCACAGCGTGCGCTTCTCGTACCCCGCGCGCCCAGACGTCGCGGTTTTCGAGGACTTCTCGCTTGAGATGGCGGCCGGCACGACGGTGGCGATCGTGGGGCCGTCGGGGAGCGGGAAGAGCACGGTGGTGGCGCTGGTGGAGAGATTCTATGATCCAATCGCAGGTGCGGTGTATCTGGACGGGCGGGACATTCGCTCGCTGCAGCTGAAGTGGCTCCGGGAGCAGATTGGGCTGGTGAGTCAGGAGCCGGCGCTGTTTGCGACGAGCATTAAGGAGAATATCATGTATGGGAAGGATGGGGCGACGATGGAGGAGGTGGAAGCGGCGGCGAAGGTGGCTAACGCGCATGAGTTCATTTCCGGGCTGCCCGAGGGGTACGGCACGCAGGTCGGCGAGCGGGGCTTGCAGATGTCCGGCGGGCAGAAGCAACGAATCGCGATCGCGCGCGCCATTCTCCGGAACCCCGCGATCCTCCTCCTGGACGAGGCCACGTCAGCCCTGGACGCGGAAGCAGAGAAGGCAGTGCAGAGAGCTCTTGACGGAGTCATGAAGGGCCGCCGCCGCACCACCGTGGTGATCGCCCACCGGCTGTCGACGATCCGCGGGGCGGACTCGATCGCAGTGGTGGGCAGGGGGCGGGTGGTGGAGCAGGGCACGCACGACGCGCTGATGGCCAAGGAGGGCGAGTACGCGGCATTGGTGAAGCTGCAGCTCCAGGCGGTGCAGGCTGTGGTCACCCCAGAGGACGCCATGCATGGCGGGGAGGAGCACTTGTCCTGGTATGCGGGGGTTGGGGCTTGGTAGAAGGGAGGGGGGAGGGCGAGTATGCAGCGCTGGTGAAGCTGCAGCTGAAGGTGGTGGCGGCTGTGGGCGACCCCAGAGGACGCCATGCATGGCGGGGCGGAGTCGTTGTCCGGGTATGCTGGGTGCAAGAGGGGGTTGGGGTTGGGTTTGGGGTTGGGGTTGGGGTTGGGGTTGGGGTTGGGTGGGGCAGGGTGCTGCTGGTGAAGCTGCAGCTGAAGGCGGTGGCGGCCGTGGGCAACCTGGAGGACGCCGTGCATCGCAGGGCGGAGTCGTTGTCCGGGTATGGGGAGAGGAGCGGGCGGGTGGGCGGGTGGGTTGGGTTTGGTTGGGTTGGGTGGGCGGGGAGCTGCTGATGAAGCTGCAGGTTAGGGAGGTCAATACAGAGGAGGTGGATGGTGGCAGAGAAGCTGCAGATACAGAGGGGGCTTCTTTCTTCCTGAAAAGCTGGGTGCGGGACGGGGCGGGGGAGGGCCTTTTGGGCAGAGAAGGGTGCTGCTGTTGACTGTGCATGACAGAGTCTGTGAGTAATTAGGACTTATAAGTTCATGTACAATTCTGCTGTATGGGGTTGAATTGCTGTGGTGCTCTTGCACGGCTGTTTCCAGGAGGCGCAGAATTCGAAACCCATCCTTCCCATTGCCGTTTCTTCCCCTTCCATCTTTCCCCCTTTCTTCCCCATCATCAGCCGTTGGAGCATCGACTTACAGCAGTCATCTCTGTCAGACGGAGGCAGGTCTGCAGTGGACTCGCATGGGGACGAGAAGGAGAGTGGCGAGGCCAAGAGAAGCGGGACGTGGTGGCGACTCTTCAAGCTCACCCTCACCGACTGGCCCCACACTGCCCTCGCTGTTGTGGCCGCGGCTATTGCTGGCGCCCTCAACGCCGCGTTTGGCCTCTTCCTCACCATTGTGAGTCACGGGGGGGGCGGGGCAGTCTTCACCCCACCCCACCTAACTTCTTCTCTTGTTTCCTTGTGTTTTCTTTCCTTCTCTTTCTCATGCAGCAGCTTGTCCATTCAGCGCTTGATTCCACGGATTTCACTGGCTGCTGTCCAAATGGCATTCTCTCATCCACCAAGGCACCACTCCCCCCCAGATCTCCCCTACTTCTCCACGTCGCTCTTCCTCCTCACTCCCCCCCTCCTCCCTCCTCCCTCCTCCCTCCTCCCTCCTCCCTCCTCCCTCCTCTCCACCCTGCCTTCCCTCTCCCCATCAGATGGTCACGGCCTACTACAAGCCAGTGGACCAGATGCAGTCACAAGTGAACACGTGGGCTGTGATCTTCCTGTGCATGGGCGTCCTCACCCTCCTCGTCTACACCCTCCAGCACTACAACTTCGCCGTCGTCAGCGAGAGGCTCACCGCGCGCGTGCGCGACCTCATGCTCGCCTCCATCCTGCGCAACGAGGTCGCGTGGTTCGACCACGGCAGCAACAGCAGCGGCGCCATCGCAGCCCGCCTCGCCGCTGACGCCGCCCTGGTCCAGGGCGCCATCGGGGGCCGCATCTCAGCCATCGCGCAGAACGCCTCCCTCGTCGCCGTGGCCTTTGCGATCTCCTTCGCGCTCAACTGGCGCATGGCGCTCGTCGTCTTGGCCACCTTCCCGCTCGTGATTCTCTCCGCAGCGGCGCAGCAGGCGTTCTTCAAGGGCTTTGCTGGGGACCTCAAGGCGGCGCACGAGAGCGCCAGCAGCGTCGCAGCGGAAGCTGTTGGGAACATCCGAACCGTGGCGGCCCTTTCCCTGGAGGCCAAAGTGCTGGGCCGGTTCCGGAAAGAGCTGGAGCCGCCTCTCAAGCGGTCGCTGCAGCGCGGGCAGGTCGCAGGGCTTGCTTTCGGCGGGTCGCAGTTCTGCATGTATGTGTCGTTTGCGGTGGGGCTGTGGTACGGGGGGCAGCTGGTGGAACAGAAGGTGGGGACGTTTGAGGACGTGTTCAAGGTGTTCATGGTGCTGACGTGGTCAAGCTTTGCCATTGCAGAGACACTCACTCTTGCGCCGGACCTTGCCAAGGGCGGGTACGCCATCAAGTCGCTCTTCTCTGTGCTGGACCGTCAGACCAAGATCGTGCCAGACTATCCGACGGCTGAGATGGTGGAATCAGTGCAAGGGGAGATTGCGTTGAAGCAGGTGCGGTTCGCTTACCCCACCCGCCCAGACGCCATTCTATTCAAAGATTTCAGCCTCAAGATCCCCGCTGGGAAGACCGTAGCTCTGGTCGGGCCGTCTGGCAGCGGCAAGAGCTCCGTCATCTCCCTTATAGAGCGATTCTAGGACCCGCTTGCAGGCGCGGTGCTAGTGGACGGGAAGGATGTGAGGAGCCTGCACCTGCGGTCTCTGCGGTCTTTCATAGGGCTGGTGAGCCAGGAGCCAGCGCTGTTTGCGGTGTCGATTCGGGAGAACATTCTGTATGGGCGCGAGGGGGCAAGTGAGGCCGAGATTGTGGAGGTCCGAGGGCTAGGGGAGCGGACGAAAGGGTTTGGTCAGGGTTTGGTGTGTGTGTGTTTGGGTTGGTCATGGTGTGTGGGTTTGATGGTGTGTGGGGGTCCAGGTGGTCCAGCCCTTGTTCTGCTCCAGTGATTTTTTATTTCTGTTTGCCTGCCTCCCCTGGCTTTGTTGCTTGCTCCCTCGCCCTGTTCAACCCTCCCTTGCTGATTTCTTCACCCCTGCTTTCTTCTTTTTATAACCATAGGTGGGAGAGAGGGGTACGCAGCTCTCAGGAGGCCAGAAGCAGCGCATTGCCATTGCCCGAGCTGTGCTCAAGAACCCAGCCATCCTCTTATTGGACGAGGCCACGTCAGCCCTGGATGCTGAGTCAGAGCGGGTGGTGCAGGACGCTCTGGACCGTCTGATGGTGGGCCGAACAACGGTTGTGATTGCCCATCGGCTGAGCACAATCCACAACGCTGATCTTATTGCGGTGGTGCAAAGCGGAAAGATTGTGGAGAAGGGAACGCATAATGAGCTGTTCAGCAACCCCACGTCGGTGTATCATTCGCTTGTGAAGTTGCAACAGTCAAGTAGAGATACAGGTTTGTGAGGAGGCGGGTTGAGGGGAGTGGTCAAATTAATCATTGGTCTGTTTTTCCTTGAAAATGCAGAAGTTGATGTAGAAGAAGTATGAAATTACGATATACAAGACACATCCATGTCGGCAGTCAAAGAGGCATGCCGAAGTGTAGATGAGTTTGACTCTTATGACACTTCAGATCTGAAAGAGAATATGACTAGGCGGCAGGTCAAAGTGGCGTGCCAACATTCGAAGGGGTTTAAAGCCCGGGGTCAGCATGGTAAATTTTCAAGTTATGTGGATTTGAAATAGGAAGTAGGTGAGGGTGAGCGAAACCTATTTCGGTTGTGTGGCTCTGGCGAGAATTATGTTCCTCCGCGAGCGCTTTTGCATTTCGCTCACACCAAACCAGCGATACCCACCGACCCTGTGCGAAAATCGAATCGCATGAACAGATACTCTATCCAATCAAAAGCTTTCACACTCTTACGAAGAACACAAAGTGTGGCCGCAGTAGAAGTCTCCAACTCACCACTGACTCAACTCGCCACTACTTACGGGAAATAGTAAAACATCGCCGCACATGCTACTAGCAACACCACCTACTCAGACTCAAATCGGTAAATCGATGTGACAGAAGAAACGTGTTCGACACGAGGCTCACCTCAGAATACTGGCGACGCGACCATCTCAGGAGCTGTCAACAACACAGCGGAGGGGTGTGTAGGAACGTGCGAGCCCAAAAGGGACCTACGGGAAACGCGCTTGTGAGGAAGCATTGGAGAGTTGAGGAAATGAGCGACGCGCTCGCGCGCTCGCGGTGCCTACTAGCGACACGGCGGTGCGGTTGCGGCTCCGAGCGATCGGGAGCCAATCACGCTCTTAGGCGAGCGCGAAATGGAGCGGCGCGACCGACTTAGGTCGCTCATGGCTAAGTCAGACGCCGAGGGGCGGCTCGACGAGCTTTACGACGCGATCGAGCGGCAAATGTGGGAGAGCGGGGAAGGCGGCGCGGAGGTTCTAGAAACGGAATAGGTGCCTCAAGCGGAGTTGTTTTATACCGAGGGGAGCAAGGAGCGTCTGCTTGCGCGGCAGGAGATTGCAGTGTTTTCGCTGCCCCGGGCAGGTGAAAGGAGGCGGCGTGCGAGGCGGCGGCGCAAGGATCCCAATGAGGACGAGGAGGCCGAGGCGAAGGAGTTGATTGGCGCGGTGCAAGGGATGAGCATGCAGGTAGGTTGAGAGCTATAATAAGCGATGCAGGGAATGATCATTCAGGTGAAGGATCCCGATGAGGACGAGGAGGCGGAGGAAAAGAATTGGCGCGGTGCAGGGGATGAGCATGCAGGTGGGTTGAGATCAGTACTGGGTGGTATCAGAGATAAGCGACGCGCGCCCCATCTCCGCCTGTTCCCTCTCCCCCGACGCCTCTCTTGTTGCCACGTCAGGGTGTAGCGGCGCCTGCCGCCTCTGCTCGCTGCCAGCTGTGGTCGCTGCCAGCTGTGGCCCCTGCTTCTTACCCTCATACTCGCTCTCCCACCGACCACCCCCCCCCCCCCCAAAACCCCCCCACACCTCCACAGGTATCAGAGATAGGCGACGAGCGCCCTATCTCCGCCTGCACCCTCTCTCCCGACGCCTCTCTCCTCAACACCTCCGGGTGGAGTGGCGCGTGCCGCCTCTGGTCGCACTCAAACCTCCTCCTCACCCCACCCCACCCCACCCCACCCCACCCCAGCCCCCCGCAACACCCACGCCACCCCCTTCCCCCCACACAGGTATCAGAGACGCCCCCGACGCATCTCTTGTCGCCACCTCGGGGTGGAGCGGCGCGTGCCGCCTCTGGTCGCTGCCAGCTATGCGGGTGGCGGGCGCACTGCGCGGCCACTCAGAGCGCGCCACATGTGTGGCCTGGCACCCCCACGTGCTCTCCTCTCTCCCCGCCTCCGTCCCCAACCTTGCCACGGCTGGTGCTGACAGGTACGACAGGTGCATGAATGAGGGGTAGGTCTAGGACTAGCAGTGGGATAGGCCTATCCACTCACACCCCCACACGCGCTCCCCACTCCCTGCCTCTGGCCCAAACATTGCCACGGCTGGGGTAGATCTAGCCGTCTCAGTTACTGACCTTCTGACAAGTAGCGGAGCCACATTGTCACCAACCCTCCCTATCCTCCCCTTCACCTTCTCCCTGTCAGGTGCGCGCTGCTCTGGCCGCTCCATTGGGCAGCATCATCCCCACCCAACGCCATCGAACGCTGATGCTGATGGGGTTTGAGACGTCTAAAGACTATCCTTCTCCCCCGCTTCCCCACCTCCTTGTCAGGTGTGCCCTGCTCTGGCCACTCCCCTGGGCAGCATCATCCCCACCCAACACCAACGGCCAATCCGACAACCCCTCCTCCCTCCCCCAATCCAACGGCCCTGATTCCTCCTCCAGCCCCGCAACCCCGTCCTCCTCCTCCTCCCTCACTCTCTCCACCCCTCTCCTCCGCCTTTCCGGCCACTTAGACCGAATCAGGATGGAAGTGTGGGTGGCAGGTCAGGATGAGTGAATGAGTTAGGTTTACATCCCCACTTTGCTACTGTGGGTCTTGAACATGCCATGCTTGAGTGGGTTTAGTAGTGGTTTTTGCCGTTCTGTCCTAAGCCTAATCATGCTGGGATGCAACTAAGTTTGTAAATCTGCATAGCCACAACTTGAATAGCCGCTTGCACATATAATAGTTGCAATAGACAACTTAGGGAGTTACACGTGCGACTGAAGTTAGCCCTGTGAACTGCCCCATTCCACCATGCATGCGACAAGTTCTACAAAAGCCAACCCCATTAGCAACCAGTGCTGTAGCTATGTGCGTGGAATTATGGTCTTCATGCTTTTGTAAGCATAAACATGGGAATGCCTTGGGGGAAAACAAGTGTTAGGAATGACTGTTGCAGGGCGGAGTACAAATGCAGTCACGCCCAAGGCAGCAAGCCAGTCAGGGCTTGCGAAGGAATGGTGTCGGGCGATAAGGAAAGAGCGGCCGGCCGTCAGGGTGCACCTCCCAGAACACCTGCACTGTGCTGCTGCTGGCCACGGCAGTCAGATCCTGACAGGGCGGGGCAGGAGGGTAGAGAAATGTTGGGGACAGGGCCTCAGTTATCAGGATAATTTATCCTGATTCTCCTGAATTCAGGATAGGTGTCGTGTGCTAGTCCTGGAAAAACAGCATAACGGGAATAATTGTCCTGTAATTTCAGTATAACGGTAATTTTGCGCACTGAAAACTCAGGATAGTGTCGAATCTCGCTTTGAAGCGAGATGTGCTGTACAAAAAATCTCCTGGGTTTCGGGGCCTAAAATGTGTTCGGGCGAGTAGGAGCAAGCGTGAATCGAACAAGAGACCATTCTTGTAACCCATTGTCGCTTTACCGGCTAGCACACTTCACCTGTTTAAAATGTGAGCATTGAAATTACAGCATAATAAAACAAATAGCACTGACATTTCAGGATACCTCACCCTGTGCAGCCCTGACAATTCAGGGCAAATTCTGATTTCCTAAAAACTGCCCTGAGGCCTCAGTGTACCCCCAAACGAATCTGAGGCCCTGGTTGGGGAGGAGGTGGGAGCAGAGGAGGAGGGGGGTAGAGAGCATCAAAGAGCAGTGTGGCTTGGATGACGGCAATTGCCCTGAGAGTCATGGGAAGAGTGGCAGGGCTCTGGAGGCACCTCCCCGAACACAAACACCATGCCGCTGCTTGCGAGCGCACAGTCATCCTGAGTGGGGTTGAGCGGGGAAGGGGAGAGACGATGGTGGGGCAGGAACTGCTTGTTGGTGAGGAAAAGGTCGGGGGAGGAAAGGGACGAGCGGCAGGGCATAAGACTGCATTTCTCTCAACAGCAGTATCGTGCTGCCGCTGGCCGGCGCACTCAGATCCTGAGTGGGTTCGAGGGAAGGAAGAGGATGAAGGAGGGGTGTGGAGGGAAGGGGGGGAAGGTAGTGGGTGGGTGCGTGTGGAGGAGCAGGGCAAAGAAGGGTGGTGAGGGGGGGGGGGGTGGGAGAGGCGTGGATGGGTGGGGAGGCAAGCGGGGGAAACACACGTCTCGGCACAATAGCATTGTGTGACTGCTTTACTTGCTAGCACTCACATCCTATGAGGGTGGAGGAGGGGGGGATGGAAGGGACAAAAGCAGATGGGAGTGAGGGATAGACCATGGTGGTGCGTTACATGTGGGAATGGAGCACTTTGAGGCAGTTCAAGGGAACGATGCAGGGAGTTAGTGGCGTCCGCGTTCTTTGATCGTCTTGGCTCTGAGGTTTTAAAGGGGCAACGAAGAAGCCAGCACACCATGACACCATGCACTCACTGCTATGGAACCTGGTGAGGGTAGAGGGGAGGCACGGGTATGGGGGGAGCATTGGCGTGCACATGGGGTTGAGGTTGGCAGAAGAGGTTGGCGCAGGCGAGCACAGACGTGTGTGCGTTGAGCGTGGCAAGGATGCCCGCCTTGGCCACCGACACGGTCTGCTGCTCCATGTCCTGATGAGGCGGAGGTGGTTCATGTTCAAGGGTGGGGGAGAGGATTGGCAAAGAGAAAACAGATCACAGGATATCAAATCAGCTAAAAACACCCCATACTGAATTGAGGTACATCATGCATGATGCAGCACACCCCTTGCACTGCCCATCCACCTTCCACGCCACAGGGTGCTGTGCGGCGCCTGTTGAGACGTCTCCACCAGAAGAACCTACCCATCCGTACCTGCTGTGGTGAGAAGTAGGCAGCATCCTGGTTGGTATCGTCAGCATCACCAGACGCTCTCAGCGACTGCTGAGCTGCCCCTTTGTTGCGCGTGCGCCCACCCCCCTCCTCGCGAATGTGAAAGCAATCCAGATAGGTCTGGAATGAGAAGGGAAGACGAGAGAGCACAGGGCATGAGGAACGTGAGCTCGTTCCAAAATCTGCTGCGCTGCCCCTAGTTGCACCTGCGCCCCCCCTCCAACTTCCGGAGGGGAATGCAGGTCTGCAAGGAGTTGGGTGGAGGCAGGAAGAGGGGGTGAATGGAAAACGAGCTTGTTCCCAAGTCTGCTGCGCTGCCCCCTTGTTGCGCGTGCGTCCCCCCTCCTCTTTGCGAATGTACATGGGGAGGGAGAGGAGAGGTACATGGGGAGGGAGAGGAAAGATGGTGAGATCGAGGTAGAGGGGTGGCATATGGGGAAAGCAAAGGCTCACCTGGTGCGTGACGCTCACCTCTATGAGGGTGGGGGTATGCAGGGCGGAGGTGGGGGGAAGCAGGGCGGAGGGAGGGGGGAAGCAGGGCGGAGAGAGGGGGGAAGCAAGGCGGAGGGAGGGGGAAGCAGGGCATAGGGAGGGGGGAAGCAGGGCATAGGGAGTGGGGAAGCAGGGCGGAGAATAGATTGGGCGGTAAACAGAGCTGGTGGGAGAAAGGGAAGCAGGGAAGGGGATGGGGGGAAGCAGGGAAGGGGATGGGGGGAAGCAGGGAAGGGGATGGGGGGAAGCAGGGAAGGGGATGGGGGGAAGCAGGGAAGGGGATGGGGGGAAGCAGGGAAGGGGATGGGGGGAAGCAGGGAAGGGGATGGGGGGAAGCAGGGAAGGGGATGGGGGGAAGAAGGGAAGGGGATTGGGGGAACGGGGGCAAATGACGGGGAGAGAGCTGGAGGGAGGATGGTGTGGGAGCCGAGGAAGAGAGGACGGGAGCAATGTGCAGACTACGCCATCTCATTCCATGCTCCATCACTCCATCGCACACAACCCCTCCATCTCACACCATCACCCAATTTCAAATCATCCCCTCGTCTCACACAATCCATCCAACCCCCTCCCATCCAACACCATATTTCAACCCCCCCCCCCCCCCCCCCCCCCCCTCCCCCTCTCTCCCTCCCCCTCTCTCCCTCCCCCTCTGTCCATACCCCTCCCTCCTCCTCTGTCCCAGGTATGTGGGGGGAAGGATGGAGAGTAAGTGTGGGGGAGGAGGGCGAGTATGTGGGGGGGAGGAGGGCGGGTATGTGGTGGGGAGGAGGGCGGGTATGTGGGGGGGAGGAGGGCGGGTATGTGGTGGGGAGGAGGGCGGGTATGTGGGGGGGAGGAGGGCGGGTATGTGGTGGGGAGGAGGGCGGGTATGTGGGGGGAGGAGGGCGGGTATGTGGTGGGGAGGAGGGCGGGTAGGTGGAGAAACACGAGGGCGTGTGGTGTTGGGCGAAGGCGGGTGGTGCGGGGGGAGGAAGGTCAGTGCTGTGTGTGGGGGAAGGCAGGTGGTGTGGGGAGAAGTAGGTGGGTGGTGTATGTGGGGGGGAAGGCGTGTGGTGCGTGATGGGAAAGCCGGGCGTCCGGGGGAAACGAGGGCGACGGCAACGTGGGAAATCGCGGGCGGCGTGAAGAATTGCGGCGGCGTTGGGAATCGCGGCGGCGTGGAGAATTGCGGCGGCGTGGAGAATCGCGGCGGCGTGGGGAATCGCGGCGGCCTGGGGAATCGCGGGCGACGAAGGGAAGCGAGCGAGACGAGGGGGATAGGGGAATTACGGACGAATCGGGGGATTACGGGCGACTAAAATATATATGTATGTATGAAAAAAAAAAATCCGACTGATGTGAAAAAGAACGCTTTTCTAAGGGGAATTACGGTCAACGAGGCGAAATAGGGCGACGGCCAGGGGAGACGAGGGTGACGCGGAAGGCAAAGTATGGACCTAGCGTGGACATCAGGAGAAGTGAGGGTGATGGAGAGGGACGACGGGCAACAAAAGTGACGACAAGAGAGGAAGCGAGCACGGTAGGTAAGGAGGGACGAGTGATCAGTGATGGCAGGGATCGAACGACGGGAGGGAATGTAAGCGGGATCGCGACTCGCGACTCAGGAATGCCATTTACAATCATTGCGCGTGTCGTGCGCTACAACGGACGTTCCGTGTCTAGCATCCGAAAATGGTACGGTAATAACGTGTTTGGCATGAAGATGTGCTGCTCAGCTATTGGCAAGACAGCGTGAGTGAGTAGAGTTGGATGGAAAAAAACGCCTCTACCAGAGCTAGCCTTTATCGCCCTGCCGCGCGTTTCCGAACGCGAGTAGTCTAGTAGGCTAGGAGTACCACTTGGTCTTCAAGATATGTGAGGGGAGATCGGGGCAACCTAGTGAGCGATGGTGGGATCTCTTGTGCGACTGGGCTCAGAAACCAATCAGGATCGACCGTCGCAAGAGTTTTCCCTTGCCTCGCGAGTTGTGTTTCAAACCAAAGAAGGTAACCCTGTTTTTGGCGACTTCAAGTTCAAGAATCTTGAACTTGAAAAATAACCATGCTGTACCCGGGCTTTAACCCCATACGACATGCTCCTCTGTCAGAATCCCAGCCACTAGACCATAGGGATAAAAGGGCTTGTTTGTGTAGCGGGTCCGTGCGCTCATAATCTCCCAGGCGAACGCGCGTGTAACCCCCCTAGGATCAATCGGGAATCTCACAATGCAGATTTATTGACCCCCCCCCCCCCCCCCCCCCCCCCCCCCCCCCCCCCACCCCCCCACTGGGAGGTCCATGATTGAGTATACACCCTATTCTCGATAATTGCACACCCCCTACCTTTTTTTTGGCTCGATTCAGTCTATACCGAAGGTGCCCTATACCGATTTAGGCTCGATACGACGGACACCCTGAAACTCAGGGACTATCAGTCCACCGCGAGATGCAGTTTTTCCATGGAACTACACTATGTGTTCCGAGTGAGGATGGGGTTGGAGTGGCGCAACTGAAGTTTTTAATGGTTACGTCTATTCACGACTGGATTTTGGAATGCTCACCAGCTATTCAATATTCGCAGTAAACTGTTGGGCTGAGAAAAGCCCTTAGTATCTTTTCAAGTATAAACTCTGATTAGAGATGTTGTAATTGCGGAAGCGTTTAATGACAAGTGTCAAACCACCTTGCGCTAGTGTGTGAGGGCAAGATAGATTGATTAAAATGGGAAGATATAAAGTTTTTATAAGAATACGAGGAATATGTAAAGATACGATTGGTAACCGTTTTACTGTTGCTGTTGCGGTTCGATACAGTGACGACTCGGGCAACTGCTCAATAGTGAGACAGTTGTTTGTCCTTGCTGCCGCGCTGTATTTGACGAGTCAAAGGTCGCTTGACCTTGGACCTTCGCGTAACCTCCAGCAAATGCGATTTGTCAACCTCCTCGGTTGACTCGCCGTTGCTTCATTGTAGTTCGCCTCGTTTACACTTCGATGTTTCGACACATAAGAAGCGTTTTAAGTCACTTGTTTCCAACACTCCCCTTCGCTTCTGGAGTGTCGTTGCTGGTGACGTGGCCTTGTCCAGTCAGCAGCATGCAATACTCGAACTTCTGCTTTCCGAGCTTCTTGGTCAAATAATCGGCTGCCATCTCGGACGTGGGGCAGTAGGATAGCTCGAGTCTCCCCTTCTCGATCTCGTCTTTCACGAAGAAGTACCGCAGGGTGATGTGCTTCGTCCGGTTCGCGAACTCATTCTTGTTCGATATGCGAATTGTAGATTGGTTGTCGCAGAACAGAGAGAAGTTGTTTAACTGGGCCAACTTTGCTTCTTCCAGCAGTTCGCGAAGGTACAGACCTTCCTTGGTGGCTGAACAAAGTGCAATATATTCTGCTTCAGCTGAGGAGAGGGCGATTAGTTCTGTCGAGCAACCGCACGGCTCCAATGCAGATCCCAACCAAGTCTTTCAGCTACTGAAGTCCCTGAACGACATCAAACAGGCCCCGAGACTGTGGCAGCGGTACCTACACACCCGGCTAATCCGCATCGGATTCCGGCAATTGCCGCACGATCAAGGGATGTACCGTCTCATGAAAGGAGTCGACTACATCTTACTCATCGCTTACGTGGACGATCTGCTCTACATCGGCTCGACCGACAACGTCACAACTTGGTTTGAAGGGGAGTTGCAGCGGGACCTAACGCTCACCGTCTCATCGACCGTGACGCAGTACCCAGCACTCAACATACAAGACGGCGAGCATGCGATCCACCTCAGCGCCGCGAAGTACGCCGACACCATCGCCAAGCGCTTCGGACTAACGCCAACTACTATCTCCACGCCATCCCGCTACATCGCCGGAAATCACAAGGCAACCTCCGCTCCGCTCAAGCCCGCCGGCATACGCGACTATCAGTGAAAGCTAGGATGCTTGCTATTCGCAGCCGTCACCTGCCGACCAGACCTATCGTATTCGGCAAGCCAGCTCGCCACCTACCTCAATAAACCTGAAGCTAAGCACGTGGTGGAGCTCGACCGCGCACTCCACTACCTCGTCAGCACCCTGACAATTGGCCTGACCTACCACAAAAACGGAAACACGACACCCAAGCTAATCGGGTATGTGGATGCTGACGCACCGGCTACGTCTACCGACTCGAACCTATCGGGCCTATCTCGTGGCAGTCGAGCGTCGACGGGTGCGTAGACAAAGGCATTTGCGACGTCAATTTGACGAAGCTTCTTCCGCTTCATGGTGGCTATTGCGAGGAGAATCCGCAGTGAGGTGTGTCGACTAACCGGTGCGAAATTTTCGGTGAAGTCTCGTCCGTGCTCTTGGTCGAAGCCGCGTACGACCCAGCGCGCCTTAAACTTGTCGATGGTTCCATCTGCCTTTGTTTTCACGCAAAAAAACACATTTTTCTGGTGAGAATGATCTTGTTTCGTGCCACCCCGATAGGTACGACCTTCCAGGTGTTGCGTTCTTCCAGCGCCTTTAACTCCCTGTCCATGGCTTCGCGCCATTTTTCCCTGTGCTTCCCCTCCAGAGCCTGCTGGACCGTGGCAGGCTCCTTAGGTGGCGCTGTGCCGTGGACTGCGGTGACGAGTCCAAGTATCTGGAGTCCACTCTATGTGTAGCAAGGGAGAGTTGTGTCCTCGGGATAGGCTGCTTCGTCTCCCGCTTCTAGATCAGGTATGAAATTAGGTCCTATGCATTCTACTTCGTCGGTGTTGACTTGCGCGGGTGTAACGTAACCGTTGTCGGCGAAGTGATAGTAGGTTTCGGCGTTGATGCTGTTGCGAGGGTTTTCGTCGTCCATCGGAACGTCGACCGAACAGTAGGGAAGAGGTCCGGCTTCTTCCGAGGCTCCGTCCACGTTCTGCTCGTCCCAGTCAGCTTTATCCGCTGCCAAAGCGAAGGCTCGGTCACCATGAAAGCCACCTGTGGGGTCTCGGTCTTCTTCCAGGTTGGCAAGGTATGTCGGAAGCGTGAGTCGCTCGTATCACGTGCTGCCACTGTTTCCATTGTGTTGATATCGAAAATCTTCCATGTGTTGTAATGTACCTCGATGCCCAGGTGTAGCCCCCACTGTGCGCGTTGGGAGAAGCGTCCTGCTCGTGCAGCTGGGGGTCGGTACTGTACCATGCAGCCGAACACTCGTAACATTTTTGTGCTGCCCAATTTTCCTATCCACAGCAGATGCGGTGACGCGTTGTTCGGGAGCGATGACGCCGAAAGCAAGTTGTGCAGCATTACAGCATGGTCCATTGCTTCGGACCATTGATGGTTGGGTAGCCGCATGCCACGTAGCAGTTTGTGCATGGTATTCTGGAGGGTCCTATTCATCCTTTCTTCTACGCCTTACTATTGATGGGCGTAGGGAAGAAAGATGTGTCGTTTGATTCATTTCTCTGCCAGGTAGTCCTTGAACCTCTGTGACTGATATTCCCCTCCCCCGTCTGACTGGAAGCTTTTCAGTTTCACCCCTG